TTAACATTAACCATGTCGCTGACAACAGGTTTTAGTAATCTTCTATTAGAAAAAACAGATGTAGCAAGTAGGTTAAATACTCACTTTCATCCATAAGTATTTTGCTTCAAAAATTATTGATTGCAATCCGTGCCATATTTACGGCAGCGAATGCGCTCATTACAGCGAGCGATATTGCAATTGCAAATAATGTTTCACTTTTCGTACCAATTAACGCTCTACCTCCACGGTAATGCAGTTATATGGTGCATCTGAATTTTAACTCAGTCGTAGATATTACAAAATGCAATGAAAATAATTTCTAGATGAAATGTATAGGTTGCATTACAAAAAGAACTCGAATTTAAAATGTCTCACTATGTAGATATAGTGGTTAACCTTTACCTACAGTAGGTAACATCCTTACAAGTATCCTCAATAAAGAAAGTCCATACTTAAACAAAAATGATGTTGCCTAACTTACAACTATTATTGCATTCTCGACTAAGCTACTCCCATTGATAACGAAGGCAAATAATTTGAATAGTTCCAATCAAATGGGTCCGGCGCATTCGGAATGCGAGCAGTGTCTAATGTAATGCAACTAAACTGCCGACACTGGGCAATGGGCTAGAATCAGATTCCGGGCAAGCATTTAGCCCGATCTCCTAGACGTTTAACTATGCACCGCATCTACGAGTATAAATACTTGGGTGTACACTAAGTTAAGACCATAATTAAACTGTTTGCTTACAATAAAAATATTACACGAATAATGAGGGCAACACCATAGTTACTAATTTATAATTTACCTACGTGTGGCACTTCCTACCAGAACAGAAGGACAAGGTTCCACCCACTAAAAACCTGACGATATCATCCGTGAGCCATAGAGTCGGGAACGCAAGACATCAACGGGTGACGAATGCTAGTGGCAACTGTACCTAAACATGTAAGTATTTTTATTTTGTAGTAGCTTTAAGTCTGCCTAAATTGAAAAATAAGAACAAATAATAATTTTCAGCAAGAAACTTTTCATATAGAAAACTCTACGAAGAAATATGCTTAGACTCTCCCCTCTCCTAACGTTGCATATGCAAGTCCATAAAGTGTGTCGCTAATCCTTGATAGTGTCGGGTTACCCCGCGCCCCGCCTGCAACGACACGTTTATGACGCCCTTCATTAAATCGCCGGCATTAACTACGTGCTGGCTGAAAAGAATTCATTATTAAAATACCTCAGCGACTGTGGCTGTCTCAGCTCAGTTAATGTGAGCCAAGATTTAGGGCGCAATACGTGCTTACTCGTTGAAATGGGAAATATTGCCGTAAGTCTTCCAGGGGCACCGATGTTTAAAAGGATATTCTTAAAAAATTTACCTCATTTTACGGTGCTAAATTTTGTTGACGTGAGTGTGTACCATTCACTTTGCGGAATTATAAGGAGTTTTAATAAAATAACATTATATTTTATACTGTACCTGCTTGCACAGTATCTACTTACTCTACCTTTGTTACCTAAAATGTTATAGTACCTACTACAGTTGGTTTGATACCCAATAGGAACAATTTAGAAAACTACATAATTATTACATTTACAGCTTCACTATCACTTAGTTACGAGCCATAATTAAAACTTATTAAAATTCTGACAACGTTATTAGACTATTAAAAACATTTCATGTAGCCGTTCAAAGTTCTATGATTAAATTAAAACTTAAACCCGCTGGGCCGTTTAAATGTTTAAAATGACAGATGTCGGCAGTTTGCGACAGCGTCGATTGTATGAAATTTCCTTAGAACTATGTCCGTTCAGTTATTGCTGCTGGCACGTGTTATTGCCGCCAAGCACGGCATAAGAAGGTGTTGCTTATAATTTCGCCGCGCGAGATTGCGCCGTAATGCCAGCTAAGGGCTGCTTGAATTGCTGTATTTCCTTAATAGTCTGCATTTACCCTCGCCGACAATTTGTGACGAGACGTGAGCCAAATTGTCGCCTGGAGGAAATAAACTAATTTACTTATGTATGACAACCATAAAGTAAGCGCCCGTTCAGATACGAATGGCTATTGGATGTAATCATTGTTGTGTTGGGAATCTAAACGCCTTATTTAAAAATAATAAGCTCTGTAAGCATGAGATTTCCGAATATTCTGGGTTGTTATGCTCTCTTTTTTCAATGTCAAAACTAAAGCCGTAAAAGTTAACGTGAAAATTCGTATGCTCTTATGATTTCGACGAGTAAGTAATTAAGTTATTGACTGAATACTGGCACGTTCTAGCCGGCTAGACTGAGAGCTCTTGCCTTTGCCTCAGGTAAGTTCTAAAAGTGAAACTTTACAAAGCATTAGCGAGCACAGTCTAGTGACCCCCGTTAAGAAACCCACGAATAAATTTACAATTCCGTGTGTGAGTTCAGCTGCACCGGACAAATGCTAAAACTCTTCCCCTGACTTGCTGCACTGAATTTAAATGTAGTAAACAAACAACAAACGTCGTCAACTAAGCTACGTAGTTGAAAGTATTGCGGACATGTTCACGTGTACTTACTTTAGGTCTAACGAGAGTAAAGCTCTCTGTTTATATTGTCACCATTGTAGTTTATTAAAAAACTCGATAATAAGAACTTACAATTATATTAGTTTACACATAGATGTGCGTCTCTATTTTTTTAAAGATTTTGGAATTAGATGAATGTACATAATATAGAGAGTTTTCAAGTAGGGATGCTTACTTGAAAACTCTCTATATTATGTACATTATTGTGTAGTGAAAAGCCAATGCAAGTTTTTATTTATGTCTATGCACAACTCACACTTGGCTGTAGTTTTGGACAGATTTATCATTGGTTAGGAGCCACGTTCGCGTCGACGGTGATTCGGATTTGATTTGAGGTGTCAATCTCTCACGCACTCCAGTCCCTTGATGGCTGTCCGGTTTATCAATCAACACTCCGCGCAATATTCCACCTACATAGATCGGCTTCTATTATAGCCATCAAAGGATAGATTTTCATACAAATAAAAGTTTGTACGAAATATGTTTTTGACTCTACACACGAAGCCGCTTGGTATCGGCGGCTTTATTTCAAAAGAGTCATGTCGACCACTTTTACTTTTCTATGACTTTTAACAACGTGTCAAAAGGGGATCTATTCGATGACTCATGTCGGCAGGTCGGCGGGTTTGATCTAGACTGTATTGGATGGTGTACAAAAACATTAGTGATTAGACTAATATCTTCAGGTAAAACCCTCTTTAATATGATACAGCCATATATCGATACAATAAAAGGTAGCCAGACTTGTCTATAAGACAACCGTCAGTTACAGAGGGCGTTATAGCGAGTCCGAAAGTTTCTCTCACGAAATCGACGCGATGAATTATGCATGGGAATTAACTTTGACGTCAGATAAGCGGCCGAAAGATTTATTTGCCGATATGATGTGTAGAAAACAATCCAACTTGTTGCCAGCTTCTGAATTATGTTTGTTGTTTTAACGTGCGCACGTCAAACGTTGGAACTTTAGGATGAACGGCCTTAATGCGCTTTTAGAATTATCACTAAAATGCGAGTGAAATATTTATAAACAGGAGGGAATTAATATTTTTTTACACTAAACAAAAGAGTAAATACCTATAACAGTTAAGTTTCTACAGAGTTCTAAAAATAAGTAAGTAGTAAAGCAATTTTCAAACAATCATAGGCATTTGGGATTTTATAGCTTCCACTTGAGAAACTTGATTTTTTTTAAATGAAAGCCTTGGTAAATTGCGGTAAAGTAACCTTTTAAATTATTTGCCTAGTCGTCCTTAAGTCTAGCGTTTAAACATCTTAATAACACTCAACTTAAACTTTCATAAACAATCGCTGAAAAAAAGATTCCTGAAACAATGTTGCTAAATTGTCTGTTCTGCTTACATCAGGAAATGTGATTTAATACAAGTATTTGCTACCTCTAAAACCCCACTCAAATACAAAATCGGTATTGTAGCGGGGTAGCCTTTTATCAGAGTTACGCACGCTCTTACAGGACCTTCCCGGAAATTTAACTTCGTTAAGAATGAAATATGTCCCGTCGTTATTCCACGGCTTGTTGCGCGAATACTTACATTTGGAGTTCTCCACCTCTAGTTTTCTCATCAGACCCAACGGAAATAATTTCAACCGAGACTGAGTTATGACAAAACTCCGACGGACATTGCCGCATCCGTAATGAGAATGGAGTCGAGATATGTCCGTAATTTATTATCACATGCTCGTGTTCGGGGCGCTCCGAACTACGAAATCGACTGTTTTTGCCGCAAATATTGCAAAATGGCCGCTTTACGATAGTAATGTAGGTGCAATAATCTCGCTGTAGCGGGTAGGATGAAAAATGTTTACAGCGTGCTTTAGCTTCGGGGAGAGATAAGGTGAGGTACATGAGGTGAAATAGTAGGTGGGTGGTGCAAGGAAGTATTTAATTAAATCGCCGGGCGGGAGCACTCGCCTTACATCACGGCGCTAATCACAGGTAGGCCGTCAACACGTTCGCCCGTTTGAATACCAAACTGTTATTTTGTTAGTGCCAGAAAACTCATTAGCTGCCTGCTCCTTTATTGCCATACTCTGTTTAAGCTTAAGTATGACAGGAGTGTTAATTTCTTTGTCTTATTTATTAAGTTTTATGTTAGTAATTTTAAAATGTACTCTTAGGCAAATATATCTGCACTATCTATGTAAGATCTAATAATTTCATAAGTGCTAATGTTTGTTAAATTTGTTAAATATTAAATAAACCACTCCTTTGTTCATTCAATGAGATTTCAAGTAAATTTTCGCATCTACTCATTTATCCGACTAACGAGAAAAATTATAGCATAAAAACAAATAACGGTATATACCTACCTACCTAGGTATTTAAAAAGCATTTAAAAATGTGTCATGTTTTTGTCATGTCCTATTTTGTCACTTTGTGACATTTTACAAAATATTCCCAATCAATTTTATTTCAACTTACATTTTCTAGTATTTAAATAATGGAACATGATCACATTCATAAGCATGAAGAAAGAGTAACAAGCACTTATGCTGAAATTTACTTTGACGATGACTATTGTGGAGTTCGTAAGCCGTTACAAATAGAATTCGAGGATACAGAACCATCTGAAGATGAAGACGTTGGCGATGAGTGGGTCTCTCCCAGTGACCAGTTAATAGGTATAGTAGATCTTATACCACCATTTACTTCTAAAATTACTAGAGGTAAGACTCACGAAGGTATACTCGCTATCGGTAACGATGTACTGGAAAATGAACGAGCCAGATTCTTAAAGACATTGACCCAATTATTAAATGACAATGATCAAGGATGGTCACATATATTACAGAATGAAAGAAAATTAGTCGAACAAAAAGTAAAACGAATTTATGATAACATATTTGCAACTAAAAGTAAAATCATGTCCAAGGAAATATCAGAATTTTATGAAAAAACACTACAAGAATTAGAGGACCACTTGAGATCGGAATTGAAAGATTTATTGTTAAGCGCTCGCGCTAATATAATCAGTGACTTAAATATAGAAATAAAAGAAAAACTCGCCAAAGAACGAACAATTGTAGAAGAAGTATTACAAAATCGATATCAAAATGAAACAAGTAAGATAAAGAAATATTACAAGCTTTTGCTGGAGAACGAGCTGCAAAGAAGTAGCAAGCTCATAAATCAAGCATTAAAAGAAAGGAATGATGCTTTGAATTCATTTTATAGGCAAATCGAAGCTGAAAATATAACCAGCACTATGTACGTCATGTGCACGGAAAGAAAGAAATGTAAAATTAAACAATTTCTTCTAGAAAACTATCAAACAACAGACATTGCTGAGAAAATGCATAAAATAAAGGAAAGGCAAAAAATATTAGATGAATATAAAAGGCAAGAGGTTCATATAACTCAAATAAATAGAGACTGGGAAGAAAAAATAAAAAAAGTATTACAATTATTTCTGAAATTTATAAGTTACAGCTTAAAATTATTACCAGAACAAACGACATTCTTGCTTGATCTTGAAAAGATGGTTGTATTGCAAATGAATGAAATTCAAAAACATCCTCAAAAATGTTCTTCAATTCTAATGGATGACGTTGCATTTCAAAACATATTTAAATTTGAGGAAAAAATTCCAAAACCAATGGTTTGTGAGGGTGAGCCATTTGTCATTGTAGGTGATCTAAACGATCCAACTCCACCACGATATGGAAGTCGAGAAACATTACCTTCAGATGTTGATTTACCATTTGTTAGAGTTGACAGGCAATTCTTTTATGCCAAATGTCATGATTTTGAAGAGGTCAAAGTGTTTCTTGAAACGCAGCGTTGCAAATGTCAAGATATACCATCGAAGACACCATCAAATGTTTCCACTCTGAGTGGAATACCAGTAACTGCTCCACCATCACCATCTACAGCAACTGAATCAAGCGTCTCTTTAGACGAGCCATTACTTATTGACGACATACACCGCCTCCACCATTGTCCGGCTAGGAGTTGCCAGAACTGGGCTGAGAGAATGTCATTCCCTTATCTAAACGCGTATTTAGACTTTACAGAGGAGAATTTTCAGAGAGTCACTACTATCCTTGATCATCCCATGCAACTACCAATTCCACCAGAGTTATTAGATCCCAGGAAATACGTGAACGCTGAATTACCGTTTTCTGCTACAAAAGAGCTTTATCATAATGCTGAGACACAGTATTCTAGCCAAGAAGAATTATACGTACCAGAAGTAGGTTGTACCTGCTTTGATACGAATACTCGTACAGTTGGGAAACAGCAATCCTCGAGTGAAATGAAAGAGTCACCTAGTAAAGAACTGAATGACATTCTACAGAGACGTAAAACTTCTATACGGAATCTAATCCAGGAGCATCCTAATTTGCTAAAAATATTTACTGATGAGTGTTTTGATTTTCAACTATAATATTGAAATTTTTAACTAATTTTATATTATTCGCATTATCGATGATACTTTTTTATTATAATGTTTATAAAATGTACTCATTTGCTTTTTTATTAAATTACTTTACTACTAGGTTGCTAGGTTTGTCAACTTATAAAAGCCAATACCTACCTAGACTTTTTGGATTCACAAAGAGAAATTTACCGAGCTCTAATTCAATGAAGAAGTTAAATAAGCCGAGCGTATTGTTACTTATAGCTGAACATATTATCTTGCCAGTGAAAGAGGTAGTAGTGCAGCTTAATAAACGGTGATGTAGACGTGGCATCCAATTTAACCAGGTGCGAGCAGAGCCGGTCCCCGAGATCACAAATTGCTCGCAGTATCTTCGCGGTTACTCGCTAAACTCTATTCATTTGTTCTTGTTTGCTATACTGTATTTGTTTACGCAAGTTCCGACATAGTACATCTAAAATTCTCAGATAGATTTTGTTATGTTTTCAGAATTACATTATTTATTTATTCATTGATTTTAGTTACACAGACACACCATACTAATATACGTTATTATAATAATACTATACCAAATTCGCTGACATAGCCCAACGGATTAGTCAGCTGAAGAGGCAATGGGCAGGGCATATAGTACGCAGAACTGACGGCTGATGGGGCAACAAGGTTCTGGAGTGGAGACCACGTACCGGAAAGCGCAGCGTAGGACGTCCACCCACAAGGTGGACCGACGACCTCATAAAGGTAGCGGGAAGGCGCTGGATGCAGGCCGCCACCAACCGGCCATTGTGGAAATCATTGGGGGAGGCTTATGTTCAGCAGTAGACGTCCTATGGCTGAAATGATGATGATGAGATGATTCATTGATGTGATATTTTATTTTGAGAGGATTCTTCTCTGTCTTACTGCTACGTACTTTTTTGCTGAAGATACTTTAAATTTTTAATTTAATCATAATAATCGTCAAGCTTAGGTAAATAAATTTTCCCCATGTATGTTCAGTTTAGTAATTTCATCTGACGAATTTCGCATACACCAGTCACATCTCACGTTTTACGTTTACTACGCAATTGTGTAAATTACACCGTTAGCTAAGAATAATGTCGGGATGGGTGTGAGCGGGTACATCGGGCGTTAAGGTAAATTTACACAGGTCCCGTAACAAGTTAACTTATTAAGTCGTCACCGTCTCGCCGGGACTGATGACATTCCGCGCTCGCGGTGCGCCCTCATCAGGGAGACGATTTTTCAATTTTACCGATTTTACAACGTGCCATTTGAGGTGATTTTAATTTGAAAATTCTATTTGATATTAGATTATGACATAAATACATAGTGATAAAAAATGGTAAAAGTAGCGTAAGTAAGTAAAAAGTATGGTAAAAAAAGCTCATAAAGGTAGCGGGATGACGCTGGATGCAAGCCGCCACCAACCGGCCATTGTGGAAATCATTGGGGGAGGCCTATGTTCAGCAGAGGACGTCCTATGACTGAAAATGATGATGATGATGATGACATGGTGATCAAATTTTTTCAAAATACATAAGGCTGTAACCTAACTAGTATCACATACTACTCACATAATATACTCTGACTAATAAATCATCCAAAAAATGCTAAGTACTTACATACCTAGTTTTTTTTTCAAACAGGAATTCTATTCCGTAAATTCTCGATACACGTTTTTTAGTTTTTAATATAATCCTGTAAAAGCTGATAAACATTAAACATTGTTGCATTACTGGCATGTAATTAATTTAGTCGAGACTGATTCTTCACTACAACATTATTACGAAACCAAGTATACCTACCTACCTGTATAATAAACTAGTTCCGGTATTCCTATTGTAATAATTGAAACAAAAGCTTAAATTATTATTAGCATTAAAGCTTAGATAAACTTATTTCACAGTTTCAGTCTGATTTCAGAAAACAGATATGGTTAAGAAACTCAGAATTAGAGAATACTATTATTTTTAGTTCAACGACATTTCACAGAAACTTCTTCCCACATTCAAAAGGACATCCAGTCTTCTTAGAAAATGCGGGTAATAAGTCAGGTATTTCACTAGAATTTCTATAAAAGCGTATATTCTTAGAGCTTAACTTAAAATCTCCATGATAATTTAATGAGAGAATATTAGCTTTGCAAACTATAAACGTATAGTTAAGTTGAGTAAAGTATCAACTTATTAACTTTTTTAACTATAGGTATTCTGCTTTTCAGACTTTTGGTTAATGCAGAGTCTCAAATACCTATTAATGACAGATCTAATTAAAATCACAAACCAAACGACTGGTTAATAAATTACACCCTTGATACTATTTTGCGACTGCTTTGCATTTAAAAAACTTAACGAATAAATAATACCAAAATTACAACGACATTAGAAAGCACCTTATCTGAGTGCCGGTGCAGATTCAGAATTCTCCCAACATAATATTGTAGATGAATGCGCACAGCGAAGTTTTCGAATAAATCTAGAAACAAGGCAATGTTCAGCTAATTAAACTTAAGCTTGCTCGAGTAATGCCCGTAATGGAGTGACATTGAATAACTCCGAAGATAAAGCAATCATAAGAACAGCATGACAAGCAAACAATGAAAACAAACTTATCTGTAAATACGATGGCTTGCTGCTAACAATGGGTCCCTTCCCATTAATGTCATTAATTGGTTATTGATAATTATTAAGATCTAATTCATGTTTAACTGTAGAGTCAGTTAATACAATACGCTGTATTGTTGGTTATCAGTAAGATAACTTGATCGAGCAAAATGAATAAATATTTTTCGGCACAAAAATGAATATTATGTGCATACCTACTAGGTTCTAACCGTCTCAACAGAAAATCTTCATACAGCGTCTTCCCTTTATCAGGTACCTAACTAGCTTTTGCCCGCGGCTTCACCCGCGTGAAATTTAGTTTGTCAGATATCGTCATAAATTATAGCCTATATATGATTCTGGATTACAAACAATAATACTGTAAAGTTTCATCAAAATCCGTTCAGTAGTTTTTTCGTGAAAGAGTAACAAACATTCAGACATCCACACAAACTTTCGCATTTATACTCGTAATATTAGTAGGATAGTAGGATACATTAAACGTTTTTAAATTACTATCCTCTTTAATTTTAGTTTATTAATCGACAAACGGTTCAATCTGTCTCCAACTTAAAATTTTATAACCGCATAAGTTTACTTTATGTTTGTTGAAATCAGCATGAAATAAAAGCAGTAGGTACTAACAAAAATAACAGCTTATTCAATTGTAGGTATAAGGAATTACCGCTCATTCTGTTTTATTATGGACGAGCCACAGTGCATACGCGATAGCGTTTTAGAAGTAGAAGGTGTAACTTTTTGTAGGTGTGTACTTTTCTTCTGTATTCTTGTTTTACTTTGCTTAGAACCTAACGTAAAAATAATTAAACAGTAGGTAACTTACTAAAGTAATAATAATAAATAATAAATATCCTTGGACATTTTACACTACGCTTCTAGTCCCAAACTAAGTACTATTAAAACTTCCATAACTCTCCCTAGCTGATTGACTAACATGCTTTATCTTAAGCTGAACTTTTTTGTTTTCCAGAAAGAACTTAACTTTCTTTACTGTTATGCTTCTTAGTAGATACGATAGCAATTTAGTAGAAGCTGTAATTGATTTTAAAGCAATCTAAGGCCAAGTGTCCACCAAAACCTCTAAGATTTACAGAAAAAGTTTTACAAGGACATCTTTTCAATTTCTTTTATTACACCTCTATTATAAGCGGTTTTTCTTCCCCGCTCGCTCACCCACCGTCGTCCAACTGTTATCACAGGGCAAAGTTAAACAGTGTTATGCTAACTTGACGGTTCGCTATTCCATAATATTGTGTTATGCGTCGGTTCCCGTGAAATCTGACACAACTGCACCGTCTGAATAAACTTACTTCACTCCGAAGAGTTTATCCGCCTTTTCGTGTATTTTAAAATGAAATGAACTAACTATTATGCTTGTTACGATGGAAGTTTTATTTATGTATGAACAGTACCTCTAGTAGGAAAAACTTTCGAGTTCGTTTCGTTGCGTATTCAAAGTGTCATCGAAAAATTTTGTATGAAAAATTAAACAGCGCCCCCTAGGGCGGCTATAATATAGGGGGCGCTGTTTAATTTTTCATACAAAATTTTTCGATGACACTTTGAATACGCAACGAAACGAACTCGAAAGTTTTTCCTACTAGAGGTACAGATATTGTCCTTTACATGTCGATAGAGCTTCATGACCATATTTTTAATGACCAAGTTTTAGATAACTCCAAAGTAGCGAGTGAAACTATGGTTAAATGTTTGTGTGCAGATGATGACTATAGTCATAACTAACCATTCACGGGAAAAATACAATATTTTAATGCCTTTAGCACGTATTGATCAAACTTCAAGCTAACAACATTATCTATCCTTGGAAACGGAAAACTTTGCAAAAGATAAGCTTTCATCATTTATTATGTCTATAAATATCAGCAGCTTTCTTCATAAATCTACTCTGTTATTGTGATTTGATCAGAAAAGTTTAGAATAGTTATTTTGTAAATAATACAGGACCTTGAAGAACTTTGAATCAAAGTTAAAACTAAGTTGTATTTCTGTTACAGGAAATGTATGAAATCCGTCATTTTATACAATTCCTAGGATTTGTGTATAAGTCCTAAAATCACCCGGAAATGTGTGATGTAAATTATATTAGACACATTTCCTAGGAAATTTACACATTTCCTAAACAGCAATCGGAAATGTAATTAAGATTTCTTTTTTTTCTCCGAAACTTAAATGGCGCTACCGCGCCGCGGCCGCTGTGTACCTATGTGTAAGGTCGCAAGTCTAACCTAACCTAACCGAGACTTTGTTATCCAGCTACAGGAGTACTAAAACGTTCATGCCAATAATAGTTTAATAAAAGAGATGTTAAAATTAGGGTTTTCCAATACTTCAGCGTAATATGCGTGATGCCGAAAGAAAGGTATGCCAATAGGCAAATATTTTTTTCAGCCAAAGTATAATAGTGCGAAAACAACTTTCAGGCTAAACAATTATAGTTGTGAGTTAAAAGTACCTATCGGGCAATGTGGTTTGGCTAATGGAAATTTTAGGCGTACTGAGGGGCACCCGATCACACGACCGCGCTTGTGCCGCTTAGTTTTATACATTTCCTAATACAATATTGGAATTCTATAAAATTCCTAGGAAATGTATACATGTCCTAGGATATGTGCGTATTAAAAAATCTCTGAAGCAATATTTTATAAATTTCCTAAATAGCTTCGGAATTGTATACATTTCCTAGGAATAGTATACAATTCCTAGAATTCATACATTTCCTGTAACATTTCTATACTTTGTAATTAGCATTTTATTAGGCATAGAGATAAAGTTCTCGTGCACTTTGTTCTCGTAACACAGCGTTATTATTTTCTTACTCCAACAAGTCATAAAGGAATCTTTTTGTGCTGGCCGCGACCTGCAGTCGTCGCCATGGCAACGGTGCGCGTCTTTAACAAACCATAGACCTAAAAATGTAAAGACTCGATATTTTGCTGTTTTGAACTGCATTCCAACACACAATAGAGTGCTCTAATATAGTGAAGCTTGACTTAATCACCAGTTTAACATTTTTATTACGCAATAGCAATAAATCCTTTGAAAACCTCTCAAAACTTCAAGAAACCTAAAGAAAACATATGGTCAAATATGGGCATGCGATTCAGTTCTACTGAATATTTATACTCTTGAAAGCAAGTTCAAGTATTAAGTAAAAATACAAATAATTAAACTAAACTACTCCTTTTTCAAAGTTATCCGGGAAGAAGTCGTTTCTATGTGATAATTAAGTCTACAATACCAAGCATAGCCCCCGTGTTTTGCTTTATAAGCAGTATTAGTTTTCATTCTACTAAATACCAACGTGTGCAAGCCAGCAAATAACACCATGGATATACGTGACGTCCGTCTTCTGAAGAAGAAAACTGGAAAAAAGCCGCGCAAAATTATGGTGGTCAATCCATCGAAATATGGAACTTACGAAGCTATACACAGTAATAAAGAATACTGGAAAAGTATTTTCAACGACATTGACGCAACTGCTTCTGAAAGTGTAAGTATTTATATTTTATGAATATTTCAACGAAAATTATACTTACATAATATTTTATATTATTTTCCACAGATCGAAGAAAGTAAACGTTTGGCAAAAGTTTTGCCAACACAAACTTACGAAAAAGTATGCAATATTTTAGACATTCCAATTGTTAATTTGGATCAGGGTGAAGTTGTGGGTCCACAACGTAAGTACACATTCCTAAATAAATACATAGGGTGTATTAATTATAATATATTTTAATGGAATATCATTTTTACAGTAAAACCGATGAGACTGTCACTTAAAGAGCCGCTAGTCTCGACCAGAAAGAGTCTCTACATTGAAAGAGAAATGGATTCTGACACCGACGTTGAGTACTGCCCAAGGTGAGAATAACCCGTTTCCTCTGGGTTATAATAATTACTTTTTGTCTGAATTCCTCTGGTTTTCACAAATTATCACCCAAAAAAATGTGCTGAATACATCTGATATTTTTATTTCACTTTCAATACGGTTGCCCTTATTTTAATCTAGCGATGACGAAGAGAAGTTAAACATACACCAGGAGCTACTGAACAAGCCTGTGCGAGAGCAGGTGACGTGGGCCACGCGCTACCTGCAGCCTGAGAAGGAGGAGGAAAAAAGTCTCATAAGGAAAGCCGACGATCTAACTGAAAGGGTAAATGTTTCACACTAATCGCTTCAACATACCTGAAAATTAAACGCAACAAATCCCAACTAATATTATAAATGCGAAAGTAACTCTGTCTGTCTGTCTGTCTGTCTGTCTGTCTGTCTGTCTGTTACGCTTTCCCGCTTAAACCTCGCAACCGATTTTGATGAAATTTGGCATAGAGATAGTTTGAGTCCCGGGAAAGAACATAGGATAGTTTTATCCCGGTTTTTGAAACAGGGACGCGCGCGATAAAGTTTTTCTGTGACAGACAAAATTCCACGCGGGCGAAGCCGCGGGCGGAAAGCTAGTCGTCAATAACTTTTCATAAAAGCGTACACCAAAATTAAGAATTCTTTGTAATCGGCATGATTGTTTCAGATTGCTTCAGACTTCTGCAAATACATAAAAGAAATGGGAGGTGACCAGCAGTCACGTCTATTCACACCTCAAGCTATTAAAGAGCTTTTTCAAGTATGTCTGTCTATTGTCATTCTTTGACCATATTATTTTGTGGAGTTTTATATATTGCATAAGTTCTAGCTAAAATTGTAGGTCAACTGTTTAATTTAAACTAATATGACTGTTATATTTTCGTTTAAAGATTGAGTTCGACACTCACGTAGCGCGGGGCCTTCGCGTGGTGACCAGGGAACTACCGTGTGTCGAAGAAAAAATCGCCAATGTTACAGGATATCCAGAGGTATTGATTGAGTTAATGAAATAAAAAATAAGATTATTGTTTGATAAGTTAACCCTTCATTGAAATCAAATTATGATGTCATCAAGTTACTGGAGCAGTTACAATTTACAATTAATTTTATTATATTTATAGAAAGCCCGATATGCAGCTTTAGAACGTGAGATATCTAAAGATATCGAGGCTGAGCATCGTCCTGATAAAATCTCAGCATTTGGGAGAAGTCTGCCTCGTCAGGACCGCTGGCGGGCTCCTACGAACGATACCAATAATTTGTGGCGGTCAGCGCGCCATGTGCCTCGTGATCTGGTCACTCTGAAGACTGTTTGGGAGGGCATCACAAACCTAAGGTACTTTATGCATTGTGTTTCCGCAACATTATTGTAATGGATTTTACTCAACTCCCTAATGAAAAAATGTGGGCGAAATCACGTGGTCTCTGTTAGAGGTAGCAACAACAAGGCGAAGAAAACCACACGTTTTCTTATTACATTCCATTCAAACGCACTGCCTTTATGACGTAGACTTTCAAGTAAGTGTTCTCCCGTGTTGAATCGTTACTACATGGAAAATAAATCTGAGAGGAAGAAAATGTAGTACCTAATAAAACTACATACCTCTCTTTACTTTCTTTACCTACGCTTTTGTTTTATCCCTTTATGATTTCTACTCTTACTTAAAACTTTTTAAAATAGTAAAGATCTTGTTATCGTTTAGGAGCGTAAAGGAATATTGCCGCTGGATGATCGAGCACCCAGAATACCGGCGGGCTCCGTACCTGAGCAGCCTGGGCCTGTTCGATCCGGCGGTGCTTGAGGCGCGGCTGACGTTCGAGGCGCGGCCCGGCTCGCCGCCTGCGACGCCCGGCGAGGCGCCCGCGCCGATCGACCACATCAGGCGCCGCTTGTCGGAGCTGGCTGATACGAGTTGAAGAAAAATCGAAATTTAAAATTGTCAATGCGCTTTTATTTTTGGATTAACTGTAGGCATTAGCATTGTTCATGACGGGTCATATGTTTTTTAAACTGTAAATTAAATTAGTACAATGTGAATAAATAAATTAATCGTATTATTTCTCATATAGGTAAGGAAAATCAACAAACGTATTTTTATCTTGATACTACATATTACTCGTATCAAAAGTAATAAAAAGTTGTAAAATACGTAAAATATATTTAATTACCCAGCAGCGCCAGCCCGCCAGGTAGTAAGTGACATCACTACCCAATAATTTATTTATTTATTTATTCATTTGCAATAACATATTCAGCACATACATGTATATACATGCATTTATACATTGACCCTGAAAGAGTGTAGCAAAGTTACAATTATTTAATACTAGTTAACATCTACGAATTAAATTAACATTTACGAATACATGAACAATTACGAATGCTTAATGGTAACAATTCAAAGCCACTACAACAATACTTAAGTGTTAAGTAAATAAGAAAAGTATTGTGGATTGATTTTTAATCTGCTCGATGGACTGATGACCTCATGAAGCTAGCTAATAGTGGCTGAATAAAACTGCCAAAAACTGAAATGATGATGATTGATTGCCGGCTCAACTACCCAATTAGGTATTAGTCGTACATATTACTTTGATAGAGTTTTTTTTATCATGCTTATCTTATCTATCATCATGACACACCATATCTCACGACATTGTTAATACCTTTCTGATAATAGTACAGTTAGGAGGTTAAAAATATCTAGATGTCACTCAAAATTTGAAAAATAAAATAAAATAAAATGAAGAGCAGATGATTAAGAGAGTCAATGACAATATTTTACATGTACGGTATTTATCTTCACCTTGAATTGTGATGATTTTATAAACAAGTAGGTAGGAACCTTGCAGATCTTATCATATTCACCTACATTTAAGAAGTCGTGCTTCTAACAAAATAATGTAGATACGAGACCGCTATCGTTGATGTCGTAAAACAATAGATAAGAGTTTTTACTCCGAACAGTTTGTTATAATATATCTGTAGATCAAATATTTTATTATTATATCGTAGTGACTGCAAAGAGAAAGATTGTTCATTAGTTATGACAATTTAGTATAATAAATAATAGAAATCAGTTCCCCATAATAACAATAATCGTTACATCATGGTGTCTACAAGAAGTAGTGAATCGAAAACAGACTTTGAAGTGGTTTTAAACAATGAATTGGGTCAATTCGGGAAATTCCAAATCATTAACCTGCTCTTCTTGTTTGTTCCCGCGGCGATATCGGCATTTATGGCTGGAGAATACATATTTTCCGCATCCAAACTACCACACAGGTGTGCTATACCTGAGTGCGATGGACCTAACCCAGAATATTCACCAGACTGGATTAGCTTTGCAATACCTTCAACATCATCTGGATTCGAGGACTGTAAGCGATACGGCAACGTAACGGATCAAGAAAACGTTGAAAATAATGAAATCTGCCCAGTGAACCTGTTCAATAAAAGCGTCGTAATAGCTTGTGAGACTTTCGTTTACGAAAGAAAGAACTCTGTGGTTTATGACTTCAATTTGGAATGTAACGAATGGTTAAGGGCTTTGTCAGGAACGCTGAATAGCATGGGCGCAATGATTGCGCTACCTCTAGCAGGATTTATATCGGACCACTTCGGACGACGAGCTTCTGTTATTTTCTTTTCGTTCAATGTAGCACTGGTTGGCGTGGTTCGGTCTTTCTCTGTGAACTATACGATGTATGCAGCGCTACAATTTATGCATACCGCTATAGGTGGCGGTGCGTTCAGCGCAGCTTACATATTGGCTACTGAATTAGTTGGCCCCAAATACCGAGTAATGACGAGTGCAACAATGTCTTCAGTGTTTGCTCTCGGACAAGTTTTATTGGGTGTTATTGCACTCCTTGTGCATGAGTGGCGGCATTTAAGCCTAGTTTTGTTTACGCCTATATTCCTCTTAGTCTCGTATCGGTGGCTCATCACCGAAAGCCCTAGGTGGCTACTCAGCAAAGGTAAAAAAGAGAGAGCAAAAAACACACTAGAACGTGCCGCTCGGCAAAATGGCAAAATAATTTCAGAATCTGCCATGGAGTATCTGTTAAATGCCATCCCCAACCAAATCGAAGCAGCCAAAAATACAAAACAAACAAATGAAAATCTTTTCTTCAGAGTTATAAAATCGCCCGTTATGTTGCGCAGATGTTGTACGACACCAATTTTATGGATCACGACGACGTTCATTTATTATGGTTTATCAATAAATTCTGTCAGTTTATCAGGTAACATGTACTTGAATTACATAGCAACGGCCGCGATTGAGATACCGGGTTTCTGGACAGCTGTGTTAGTGTTGGACAAAATAGGAAGGAGGACCACTTTGTTTTTGGGGTATATGCTGTGCGGTCTTTGTTGTTTAGGGTTTGCTTTTACGCCTAATAATATGACTGGGTTGTCGTTGTTTTTGTTTTTGACTGGCAAGTATTTTATTGGGTTGGTGATGACGTCGGTGTATTTGTATACGGCGGAGTTGTACCCGACGAGGCACCGGCACTCGTTCTTGGGGTTCTCGTCGATGCTGGGCCGCATCGGGTCCGTGATTTCTCCATTGACTCCGCCTCTGATGGTGTACTGGAGCGGCATCCCCTCGACCATGTTCGGTGGCATGGCGGTCATATCAGGCTTGTTAGTGTTAACGCAACCTGAAACACGAGGTCTGAAAGTGCCCGATACATTCGAAGAAGCAGAACGACTTGGAAAATAAATAGAAAGAATAGCAAATTAACTGACTACTTACCTAATATTGTTACCATTACGCTATTTTATTGCATATTATAATGTAACTTATTAGTATTAACCATGGCTGTGACTAAGTTAAGTAGGTATATTTTGTATTATTCAAGTGAAATAAAGATACTTAAAACGTTTTTGATTTACTTTATTGTTCTATCAGGCCCTAGTAAGTAGGTAATCAAGTTTTTCAAAATAAATAATAGGTGTAAAGTGCTCTAAACACACTACTATACTTCACCTGTGATACTCAGGCTTATATTATAAATAGCACGGTCTAATAACTTTTAATAATTAATTAATATACCTACCTACAATTAAATAGTTTGTCCTGACTGCATACTTAACTATTCTTAACATAGGTACGACCAAAACCACCAAGATAAAGTAGGATATTTTGGCTTTCTCGTGTTAGTTAATACATTTATTTACATGTATTAACCTCTTTGATGATTAATTATTTCATAATAAAAAAATCTAAAACAATTCCAAGCGAGCAAAGCCGCGGACAAACAGCAACAGGCGGTAATTATTTAGTGCACTAATAAAGTTTATTAAAGCAAAACGTAATTAAAGTATATAGCGGAAAGAAAGTGAAAACGTATAAACGCAATGCCATTTTCTAATTTATTACCCAGTTATAAATTTTTAATTACTTTTAAGTGAAATCGTCTGCACACCGATTACGTGTTTCATTTGCTAACATTAAGGGTCATGAAAATTTAGGACTCATAACGCCATCTAGTGTGAAAAGTGTAATTCAGGCTGAAAGATTTTCACTGCTTTCCATTTTCCCCGTTGGAACACGCGAAGGGACGTTGAAGGCACGTAGTATTCGACAGCTTTACTAGATGGCGCTACTAAAGAATCTTTCAAAAACCTTGCATAGAGTATTGGTTCCTGAAAATTATACAGATGGCGTTTAATTTATTTTTTCACAATTTTTTTAGGTGTGGAGAATATTGAATCAAGTAAGGCAATAATAGTCGCTAATTTTCGCAATTATTAAACATAAAAAAATTAAGAAAACTGAAGAGAAGTTTGAAAAGTGGACAAAGTTTGTATTTAAATCCTCTGATAGGTACAAGATAGAAAAATAAAGCATAAAAGTCAATATTTGTGTCAGCATTTTAACTTCTGACAAACAATCTAAACTTGATACGAATTTTAGGGAACATTTATATTAGTTATATCTACAATAACAACGATTACAATTTGTAGTCATGCCTTGCGGGAAACGGCCCCTCATTAAGAACTGGGACAAGCCGCGGAACATAAGGGTCATAACTCCGTCTCGCTACGAGCAAAACGAGGCCTCCGTCAAGCAACATTGGAAGAAAGTCATTCGCGACTTGGAGTTGTCTTACAAGGATGACGCGGTACATTGTTAACCCATAATTTACTAATTGATACTCTTAGCATTAAGTAAGTACAACATGTTGATTGGCAAAATAATAACGAAGCTTTCATACTCTACACTAGTCTACATACATACGTGGAGTGGAGTGTGGTCCAAATGTCCACCACTAACGAGACCTATGTAGTAAAATAGTCTTCTAAATACTGATTCATTATAGCCAAACCGCAATCAAAAATATGCTGTCAGTAAAAAGTTATGACTCAATGAAAAGTCTGTTTTTTACCTTTTCATCCGAAAAATGTTCTTGATATCATTCTATCCATTGCACATTTTGGACTAATCTACGCATGTTATGTAATGTCGCATGTGGCGCGGGGTTATAGATGAATTTTATTAAATGTTATACTAGCTGTGCCTACGACTTTGTACGCGTGAAAATTGTTTGAATAATATTTCCCATTTTTACAACATTTGTCTTTACTGTTCCGCCCCTATTGGTTGTAGGGTGATGTTATTTATTCTAAACCCATCCTTGATTTATCTATATCAAAAAGAATTTTTCACATCGGACCAGTAGTTCCTGAGATTAGCACGTAAACTACTACAACTTTTTAAACAGTCATAACTTTTTACTGACAGCTTATTTTTTTTTCGTCCCATACTGAAAGTTAATCTCTATTTAATGGACTATAAGCCAATATAGGTCTCATTGGTGGTGGACATTTGGACCACTTTTGGTCATTGTCCTTTAATACTTACTTTTAATTTAGGCAGTTGTTTAGATAATGTCCAAGCCAGGACAGCTGTAGTGGCGAGTTTGATTCTTGCGCACGACTAATGATGTGAAGAGCACTAATTTATAAATCACAGACACGCGTCCATCGCGTAGTAAGTAACGATTTTGAATCGTGAAAAAGCGGAATAAGTATAGGTCGTATTATGATCCTACTATCCTACTTATCCCAATCCCAACTAATATTATAATGCGAAAGTAACTCTGTCTGTCTGTCTGTCTGTCTGTCTGTCTGTCTGTCTGTCTGTTACGCTTTCCCGCTTAAACCTCGCAACCGATTTTGATGAAATTTGGCATAGAGATAGTTTGAGTCCCGGGAAAGAACATAGGATAGTTTTTATCCCGGTTTTTGAAACAGGGACGCGCGCGATAAAGTTTTTCTGTGACAGACAAAATTCCACGCGGGCGAAGCCGCGGGCGGAAAGCTAGTAATATTATAAATTCAAACGTTTGGATGTCTGGATGTTTGTTACTCTTTCACGCAAAAACTACTGAACGGATTCTGATAAAACTTTACAGCATTATTGTTTATAACCCAGAATAACATATAGGCTATAATTTATGACAATTTGTGACATATTAAATTTCACGCGGGTGAAGCCGCGGGCAAAAGCTAGTGTGATATACAGGGTGTTAGGTAAATGGGTATATGAGCCGACACTAGCCCATGTTAACATGGTCATATAAATGGTATGGTGAAGTCAGAAAATTGATATCTTCATTTTAATTATTTTAATTTGCATACAAATAGGATTTTATAAAATTTATTTTGTATGAAAATTAAAAAAATTAAAATGATGATATCAAATTTCTGACTTCACCATACCATTTATATGACCATGTTAACATGGGCTAGTGTCGGCTCATATACCCATTTACCTAACACCCTGTATACGAACATTAAAAAGTCTTCATTTCCGACGTTAAAGTAATATAAATAGGCCTCTATCTCTCCATTTTAATTATTTTTTATTTTTTCAGTTTTGGGAATCGCAGTGCGATACTGTCCGCGAGCTGGTGGGCCCGGTCATCTTCCACCGGATCGCGAAGATTTTCAACTTGCCGCTGGAAGCCTCCAAGTATGATCCCCAGTCGGACATCACGTCGCTTGTACCATCTGAGCAGTTTTACAAAGCAATGTCCACCTCACAGGTATGAAAAAATAACATGAATATAATTGCAAAAATGTCTTCGCACACTTTGCCTGAATAATCCATACTGACTACCGTACCTACGTACAACGGACTACAGACATACATATTTCTATCTGAAAACATCCTTCAATAAATTGTGAAACTGTTCTCATAAGATAAATCGATCACTACTTGTCTTTATTATATTATGTACAAAGAAGAACGGTCACGCCCCAAACAAAAAAAAACCCAGACCCGACAGAAACGAGACATACCTCAGTTTTTTTGTCATGTCTTAATTAGTTAAATTATATATTTTTTATATTCGAAATCTATGTATAACACCAAAATATTACCCTTTGTTTTTGTTCAGGCGTTATACAAAAACTAATACAAAATGCCTATTTATCACCAAAATTGGTAAATGTATGTACCTAAATGTCTATTACAGCTGCTATGGAATGTATCTAGGTGACCTGGAGATACAGCCGGATTATACAGGGTGGTTATACATATGGAACGATAAGTGATCTCACTCGATTATTTCTAAACTATACAAGATATCGAAAAACTAGTTACTTTTTCTGAAAGTGCTTCACGAGCTCTTTCAAATGGTACCAATAATAGGTTACAGATTATGGAAGCTGGTAACATTGAATTTTTGGATTTTGTAACTTCTCGTTTCCACCCTGTATAATCCGGCTGTATCTGCAGGTCACCTAGATACATTCCATAGCAGCTGTAATAGACATTTAGGTACATACATTTACCAATTTTAGTGATAAATAGGCATTTTGTATTAGTTTTTGTATAACGCCTGAACAAAAACAAAGGGTAATATTTTGGTGTTATACATAGATTTCGAATATAAAAAATATATAATTTAACTAATTAAGACATGACAAAAAAATTGAGGTATGTCTCGTTTCTGTCGGGCCTGGGTCACAGATGACCGTTCTTCTTTCTAAATGTTTTTATCACAAGTAACATTCTAGCCACACCTAAGGAATTCAGACATTGACATAATACCTAAAATTCAAGATTTTTAAATCTTGTAGTGACCGATATTCCAAATCCATACCATCAATATCCAGTCCTATCTCACTCATATCAACATCATAAATCATGTAATGACATTATTTTGCACTTCACCTACTTGATGATGATTGCATTCAGTTGGGATAACAATGTTTTATTTTGGTGCACACTTTATCAATAACATCATTGAATGATTTATTAATGTTAGTATTTACATCAATCTTGTTAACTTTCACTAACTATTTACGATTATTTTATCTACTATCTATTGGATACGTAGAAGGGTATTTAATAGATACCAAATTAATATATCAAAATTCTACGTATACCTAAATCAGTCCAAAAATGAACTAAGCTATTTCATGAAAAATAATAATCGCTCTATTTCCACGCATTATTACGAAGGAAAACAACCAATTCACAAAACAATTTATTTTCAGTTCTTCCAATTTATTGGAAGCAAGATGTATTTTTCCTGTTGTGGGTAGGTGGGATTGCTTTCTTTCAAGGGCTTTATTTTTAATGATATTACCTAATTGGTGTCTCTTTCTTTCTGTTATTTTCGTGATTTCGGTGGTGAATGGGACATGCATCATAATATGATGTCCATAATCACAAAGTTAAAATAAGTATTTTATCGGCCATTCTCAGATGAGCTAGTTTTTGCGTGTCCGGGCTGTTAAATCGTTAAAAATGACAAATTAGAGACATGCAAGTATTTTTATATGTTACTTAACAACCCTATCCAGTTGTGCATTAAGTCATAGGCCTCTATTTTAAGTATTTGTCACTTAATTAATTTCATAAACCTCGGTTCTCTAATTACCGTTACGCGTCCGCACACCGACTTAATGTTAAAAGTTGGCTGTAATTTTTATGTCGTATGGATTTGGTTCACTCCATTCAACATTTTAAAGAATACAAAAGATTGTCTTATGCATAGCAAAATATCTATTCAATAGAACCATTCTGTAAATAATTGAATTAAAAAACTGCTTGTCCGAGCGAAAGTCCTAATTCCCGTGACGTTTTCTGTTTTTGGGCACACAAGCCTAAATAATAATATTTGACACATCATTTACACGCGCGGCGCGAGCCCTTAGTTAGTTCTAAGACCTGTTAGCAAGTAGACGTCTATTGCGTTGGCGTACCGTCGATGAATTGCGTAAGAGTATAATTACCATTTCTTTGGTTTTCAATTTTTCTATTTACCATGTCCTTATTTTTATATTCGATTTTTGAAGGTAGATCCACGTTGTTAATTTAAATAGAATCAGTACTTTGGCCTTCATACGTTGTAGTAAGACAGTATTTGCATACGCTGCAGATTTTGGAAATTTTGAAAAAAAAACTATCGTTTTATAATTTCCATGTACTAATTACCATATATTTATAATCACCGTTGTATGAAATTATTACCTACAAATAGCACTCACGATTGAATAAGTTTGATGATAAAATATGAAATATACCTAGACTTTCTCATAACAACTTTACGGACTTTTCTTCCAATCTGACATCAAAATTTTGAAAAGCTATCGTTAGAGTAACCTTGAAATAGATTCGATTCCATGACGAATGTTCAGCTTCAGTTGCTGCATGGTTGTTGGATTTTAGAGTATATTTTAACCCCTAAGGTAACCCCACAAAAATAAGTTAGCTGGAGTGAAATCGGGGCTTCTTGATGGCCAGGAGATGTCACCCCTGCGTGAAACATGTCTCGTACCAGACACTTATTTTTACTATTAATATCATTGATATTTACATGTTAAATCATTAATTAATTCTAATATAATACCATTAAAATCTATCCATATTACCTTTGTCCTAAGAAGATGAGATTGTCCAACATTAACACTTACCTGGCGTGATCACATTAAGAACAAAAGGGAACAAATCAACAGACAATGAGACTTTTCAAGACAAGAGTGTATAGGCACTTTGTACCATCCTAGACTGCATCCTAACTGATTTGTTATGCATAGAAAAGACTTCATGATATACAATGGATACTGGGCAGAAGAAGCTTGGAGAACAAACTATATACAAATGCATCCTAAGACCCATGTAGACATATGGCATCGACTTAGCCTCGCAAATGTAGAAATACTTTAACGTTTTCAAAATAAAGTATTAAAAATCTTGAGCTATGCACCTTGGTTTACAAAGTCCACTGAAGTGATACCAAACGTCAAAGAGGGTGTAGAAAATTCCTGTAAAGCTTACAAACAAAGACTAGACCGTCATGAAATCTATTTGCTGCATTTGTCTCTATCTGAGAATTCTGCATTCAGGCTCAGGAGAAAGCGAATAGCATTTTGTTGTAAAAGAATCGAGGTGACAAATCATGGGATATGCAGAGCTGGAACTGTCATTATTATAAATTCAATTTAATCTGATAATGGCTGATGGCTGATCGCAGATTGATTAAAAAGAGGAAAAATCACTTATATCATTAATTACTTTTTCGATATATGCATATCCGAAAAGTCTAATTCGTGAGACCTCCTGATCCATTAATTATATTATCTGTACGTTAAATCGTTTATACCACATTTAAATCAAATAAATTATGATTAAGATTCTGATTCAGCTAAATGCTCTAATTTGAAATGTGACACGTATCCCCCTTCTTGCTGAAACTAAGTGTTCCTGTTATAGCCTCGATTCTTGCAGTATACTGAAAATATCTTGATACAATAAATAATATAAATTACTTAGTGTTTTTCTTTTTGCAAAGGGTTTATTAAGTGTACCTACTGCGTTTTTTATGACGCTATAGTCATAGTCATATATGTTTATTGCATCATGTTGGTACATTTGGATCTTAAATATTAATACAGATTATATTAATATTTATTTGTATACAAATTTATCAATGCAATATGTTGTTTTTTTGCTATTTTACATTCTTTTCTAATTACCGTTAGGTTAAGTATTAGCCTTATCTAATTACCGTGACCATAAAATTTTTGGATCTCATTTACGCGAAAACCGCTTTGAATAATTTGACGCCTTTACGATTGTTAAATTCGTACTTTTCATGTGTTTTATATTTAAATGCATTTAAGTCAATTAAGCCAAATTTAAAAAATGATATGGTAATTAGGCTGAGAACGCCTGATCGTGAGAATGACCGTTATGATGTACCCTCAATGGTAAATAGGTTTTTCTATGTAGGTTCATTCTCCTGATAATGTCTGTCGGCCGTTTGGTGTAGTGGTTCAGAACGGACTACTATGCCGAGAGGTCCCGGGTTCGATTCCCGGCCGGGCAGAAATTGAAATGATGAATTTTAATTTCTGTGACGGGTCTGGGTGTTACTATGTATAATATGTATGTATTTAAAAAAAAATGTATATAAGTAGTGTATCCGTCAAGCTAGCACCCATAACACAAGCATTAAGTTGCTTACTTTGGGGCTAGCTGGCGCTGTGTGAAATTGTCCAAAGATTTATTTATTTATTTATTTATTTATTTATAATAATTAAGTTAAACTTTTACAATTATTCTAAGACTCATCTTTTTTCTTTTTATTGTATGCCAGAACAAAGATAAAATAAAAAAGAATAATAAATTACATCATAAAATATAAGATACGTAAGTATTGCAAATATACTACGATGATGATGTTACGATGATAATAGTACTTACTACTAGAGATGANAATAGGTGCACCTAGTATCAAATTTACCTAGTATAACCCATCTCTACTTACTACTACCTACTTACTCATACACGATACCTAATTGGACTAACTTATACAGTGTGAGTCACGTTAAAGTGTACATATGAAAATAGATGAAACTAGACCTATTTTTATCGACAAAAAAGAGGTCAAAAATTTTTTGAGATTTTTTTTAAATTTTTTATAGAATTTTTTTTCTTCCAATTACTTATTGTAAAGAAAACGTAATAACTTTTAAACTAAGCGGTATATCCTGATAAAATAAAAACAGTAATATTGCTAAATAATAGGCGATACTAAAAAAATACATAAAATACACAAAAAAGGCCAACAAATAATAAAAAATGATACTTTTTGAAAAAAATCTGCTTTTAAATTCGTGTTTTTTTGGTTATTTGATAAATTTCTCCAAAAAATGCCCCTATAATAGGTGGTTTTTATTACTTTGTATTATTCTCTATCGTATCACCTTTGTAAAACCAAAAATCGCATGTCTCTATCCCTATCACAACATTTGCTATGATCGTTTGAACAAAGGCCTGCCACAACATTATTCTCCGCTACAGGTAGAGACAATTTTAATTTTAACTAAAATGCTTATTTTACTTCGAAATCTTTTGTTTTTATTTGAAATCTAACTTGTCTTTATCAAAAATACAAATCTAGAGCCATTTTCAGTTTCGTTGTTAACGAAGCGTTGAACGGCGCGCCCGGAGAGGCTTATTTCAAACGACCATTGCAAACGTTGTGATAGGCATAGAGACAGGCGATTTTTGGTTTTACGAAGGTAATACTATAGAGAATAATACAAAGTAATAAAAACCACCGGTTATAGGGGCATTTTTTGGAGAAATTTATCAAATAACCAAAAAAACACGAATTAAAAGTAGATTTTTTTCAAAAAGTATCATTTTTTATTATTTGTTGACCTTTTTTGTGTATTTTATGTATTTTTTTAGTATCGCCTGTTATTTAGCATTATTACTGTTTTTATTTTATCAGGATATACCGCTTAGTTTAAAAGTTATTACGTTTTCTTTACAATAAGAATTTGAAGAAAAAAAATTCTATAAAAAATTAAAAAAAAACTCAAAAAATTTTTGACCTCTTTTTTGTCGATAAAAATAGGTCTAGTTTCATCTATTTTCATATGTACACTTTAACGTGACTCACACTGTATAGATGAAGTTAGGATCTAAAACCTATAGCAACCTGTCACGTTCATCCGGGGCCAGCGTTGATATGTCATCTTCGCTACGTAAATTCAAAAAACAAATTTCTGAATTGTATACTCCGACGGTTAGTTAATAATTTATTGTTTTGCATTCTGTCACTTTGGCAACGTTATTGTTATCCAACATTCGGTGCATGTCGTGGCAACCTTTAATTAAGGCAACACCTTAGCTTAATTTATTTATAAGGAAACTGTGAATGTATGTTTTGTTGGTTGTCCTTAAATAAATAAATAAATAAAATGTAAAAAAACTATGTACAGATACAAACTCGACAAACGTATTCCATGAGCGACTTCGAGTTCTCAGTGGAAGAGGAACAAGACCTTCAAGAGGAGCAATCGGACCAATGGAGCGTTTCATCTGTCGCCGAGAGCACTGAGCTCAGAAAAGCCTCCCGTTCCAAATCTGCAATGAAAGCTGCAAAGTCGAAGTCATTTTCAAGAATGTTTTCAAAGTCGTTTTCTAAGTTTGTCATGAGCAAGACATTGCAAAATACCCACTCCAGTAGATTAAGAGCGTCGGAGGCGTCTACTATGGATGAGTCCGCAGACACTGACGATGACATAGAAGTACATGCTAGAAGCAGGAAGGTGTCGTAAGTATAACCCATCAAAAACAATACTTGTCAAAAAACCAAGTCTCGCAACTCAGTTGTTCTACGGTAAAAAGTTGTGAGATCCATGTAATACCAAGTCCAGGCCAGGAAATCTTTAACGTTTTACATAAATTATTGACTTGGCCATCGCACTAAATAATTTAATTTACACGTGTTTTCATGCGATGGCCAAGTCAATATATTTATGTAAAACGTTAAAGATTTCCTGGCCTGGACTTGGTATTACATGGATCTCACAACTTTTTACCGTAGAACAACTGAGTTGCGAGACTTGGTTTTTTTGACAAGTATTGTTTTTGATGGGATCTCATTTCTTTTTGTATTTTGTAGACAGCAGTTATGTATCTAGAAAACTGGACCGAAATTGAAAAATTTTACTCGACTTGGCGGTTGCACTACCGTGCCCCCAAATATTTTAGCTTTTCCTTGATTCATACACCAAACACTACTTATATTCCAAATTTGAAGCTTCTAGTTCTGCTAGAAGTGCCTTAGAATTTTGATGATCGGTGAGTCAGTCAGTGAGTGACAAAATTAAGAAACTTTGACCCGTTATAATTCTTAAACTACTGGTTCAAATTGAATGAAATTTGAAATATACCGTGTCTTTACAATGCCTGCATAGCTAATGAAAATTCAGCCTTCTAGTTTTATCCACAACGAAGTTACAGGCGGTCGAAAATGGCCTGAATTGCTTCGAGAAAAGGATGGTACGGCCGTGCCGCTTTTTTGCTCGACTTGGTGGGGGCACTGCCGTGCCCCCAGATCATAATTATTTCTACACGCTTTTACTTCCATAACATTTTTATGCTGACTTATTCAGTGACTTTTTATTTGAAACAAGAAGAAGATACTTAAAGTTTGTTCCGGCTGGTTATATTTCAACAATAGGTAGAATTCTTAATACGAGTATTGTTAAAGAACAGATACTTATATCTTGCATTCTTGAGTCATATTTCAAATCAATATTTTACCGACTTAAGCCCACTAAATACGTTTATTTATATACTTCTGGTAAGCTTAATTCGTGTCATGATTGGGTTCTGTATTTCAGGCGCACAATTCACAGGCGTGTGAAAAATCCACATTTCGACATGCTATATTGCAATGAGTCTGAAACCGATATGATTAAATGGAAGTCCAAATATAAGCAAAAGGCTTTCGAAGTTTCGGCATCAGATGAATTCAGTAAGAAAGCTGAAATCATGACTAAGAAAGTACGTGCTATAGAGTAGGTAATAGAATAGAGTGACATGGCTATATGAATCAATATTTTTGCTTGATGCATTTTACAGATATCAAAAGAATTTTATGACTGGTGGGTTGGATTAGGTAATGTAGAATTCAAAAGTGAAATCAAGCGTCCAGAAGATATCGAGGATCTCTTCCAGGTAATTAATTTCATAGAATATTTTTACCAAAAAACTTACACATTCGCTAATATTGTTTCTGCTTACAGGTTTGGTTCGATGAACATGCTTCTCGCGGTCTTGTGTTAGATCCCAGGATTCTGCCTTGTGTGCTACAAAGCATTGCGAACTATGTCGGAGTGCCGAGGGTGAGTCCACTTTTAAGAAGTACCTATACCATTAAAATTGCAAGAGAAACTTAAAAAATCAAGACTACAAAATAGCACTTTTAAACGTACTTATAAGCATTGATACAAGATTATTTGGTAGAGTTATGTTTTTGTCTGAAATAATGAGTGCCTAGTAAGTTTGAAGCGTTTCATCCTAAACACAATAAATACATACTCGGAAATATTGCCATTAACTTATTATAACATATAATATACATACATTATTAAGGTAATTTATAAGTTTAACGAACAGCTCAGAAAGAATAAGTGCAATGTAAGAGAAAAAGCAATGACGAATATTGCATTTCGAATTCGACTGGACACCATTGGTGTGCCTTTTTGGTTAGGTCATAGCTGTCATTTCGATCTAATCTTGCCAGGAAACGTTTAAACCTGATTTCTTTGACGCAGGCCTCGTGCCCAAGAGTGCTCAAGAGGCAGATCGCGTACGACATCCACGCCGAGACGAGCCCGGCGCACGTCATGGCATTCGGCACCGGCTTGCCGCAGAGGATGAAGCACATCCCGCCCAAGAACAACACCGAGAAGATGTGGCACTGCGTCCAGATCCCCGAGGACTTGAAGACGATGGCGTGCGTGTGGGACGATATACAACATTTGACGTAAGTACTAAGTACAACCTGTGTAATAAAATTCTTAGCATTTTGGCACTTCTTCTCGTCGTGTCGCCAACAAACCTACACAGTCTCAGCCTAAAACTCTGCTACAATAGTGGCGATGTCAGTAGCATTCATTAAATCTTCCTGCGTGCAGTATTTTGAGCACGCAAGGCACGACATCATGTGCTTCATCGACTGGAGAACACAACTACACTTGCACTCCAAGTTTGAATCATCTGAGAATCCCCACCTGAACAGATTTTCCTTACTACGGCTGATTTTGGCACTTGAGTGAGATATTATCTTACATGCAGCAGTCATCTGGTTTTAGCCGAATGATCTTGATTTATCTCAGTAGGTATGTACTAGATTTATCACAGTGATCTATTTAAAGATTTTAACCATCCTAGCAATTGATAGATATGAGTGTGAGTCTGCAGGATGCTCAGAAATGTGACAAATATAATTTCGGGAAAATAGTAAACGTGTCACACCTAAATACACGTATACACAATTACGTTATTGATAAGATGATATAATCGATGCTTCATAGATTCATTTTTATCTTACTGATACAGTTAAAAAATGTGAAAGTTTGTGAGGTTGGATGGATGTTTGTTTTCTTTCATGAAACTTTATAACATCAGAATAACACATTAACTATAATTTATAACGTTATTAAATCCACGCAAGCTAGTAACAGTATTATAATTTTATGTTTATTGTCAAACAGGTCAACAAAGGCATTCCACAAGTGGCTGCAGCAGAGACCACACCTGCCGATGCCGCCGTGTCTGAAAGCGCTGGATGCCGCCGGGGACAAGAAACAGCTGTTCGTCGTGCCCTCCGATTACGTGGTCAAAGATAAGAGCGCCTCCTCTTCAGCGCAAGAACTGGCCCTCCCAGTCTCGCAGTTCGATCTCGAGCTGAAAGAAGTGCTCAGCAAACTATTAAACCAATAGACTGTATACCGACAAATTTTCAATCGGCAATTATTTTTTATCTTTTATCTTGATTCCTTAACTTCGTTCATATATTAATAAAAAAAAAATACAGATAAGTTGAGTGCCGTTTTAGTTGTCAATTCCGTGTGCATTTATTTGTTTTGCCATGAAAATGAATTCTACACCACCTTATTCATACACAATATTGGAACCGAATATAGATGTAAGTACTGCATAATTTTAAACGTTTTGTGAATTAACTATTCTTTAATTCAGATGTGATATAATGATGATAATTTATATTCGTCTATCACTATAATCATAGATGTTACGTCAGTTTTAAATATGTATGACGATTGACGCATGGTCCAATAATTACTACAACATTGTCATTAAAGTCGGACCAATAAGTTAGAATTACTCTAGCTTTCGCCACGGACTCGACCTCTTGAATATCGCACCGTCGCAGAAGACATTATCAGGCGCGTTCCCCTTTTAAAAACTGGAATAAAAACTATCCTCTGCTTCCAAAATTAGAAAATAAACATTCTTAGGGTGGATTCGACCAAACAAGAGTTAATATTAATCTCAGAATAAATCGTCAGTTTTGACATATTTCCCATACTGAAACTGTCAATATGTCAGTTATACCAGGAGTTATTCTCGGATAAAAGTTTGGTCGGATCGGGCCTTATAGTCTATCCAATATAGCTTGATTAGAATGACGGCTGTCAAACGAATGTGACTAGTGCTGGGTATGTTTCGTACGGTTCACATAGATGTATCGATAAGTTTTCGAAAAAATGATATAAAAAAATGCACCCAATTTTTCTTCATATCTTTATTCATAAAAATGACAATTATGATTTAAATTTAAAGACAGTAAAATTTAAAATTCATGTCAAGGGTGTACCTACAACCTAAGTCGTAGTCATTATCATCAGTGTTCTTCAGTGGTTTTTTCCTCTCGCTAGAGGGCGGTGGGCATCTCTTCTAGAGCAACGGTGCTATGAATACCCAAAAAATTACCGGTGATTGATTTCCGATGTTTGATTATTTAAGAATGAAATGTTTTTTGGTTTTTAATAGTGAACATTTAGAAAAACGTATAACTTGACTTAAATATGTTAAAAAATTAGTTAGAAAATAAAATTGTTAAATATGTTAAAAAATTAGTTTTAATTTAATATGACATTTGTCGATATGTCCCAACACTAACATTTTTGTAACTCGAGATAACCTTGTAGAGACGTCGTTAATACTCTAGCTTGATTTTTATAATTTCGAATTACTACTTATTGGTGTAATTTAACGCTGCATTTACACGAAATTAACATTTTTATTGGAAGCACTGTCGTCGAAAATATTGTTTGTAGGTCAGACGTGAATTATTTCTTGTCCGCCAATATTTAGCTCTCATTGATCGCTACTACAAAGTTATGTCGTTACTTTTGATGGCAGCTGTCATTCTAATCAAGCTATATTGGATAGACTATAGTGAATGATTCTATCTATTGCTGAAAAAATTATGACAATCTGTTTAGTAGTTTTTTTTGTTTAATGCAACCAAACTTCAGTTTTTGAGTTTATCGTGAACCAACAGAGAGACGCAGCGAAGGGCTTTTTTATGTGCAGTGCCGCCTGTCACTTGCTGCATCATCGCAACAATCTCTGAAAACGTGCTAAATGGTTAAAAATCGTTTGGATTTCAATTACATCGGAAAATTCCATTAACATTGGAAAAATAATAATCTATGACCATAGATGTAATTTTCTAATATGCAAAAAAATATATAATTTAATTTATTGTTGAAATTGCCACCGCCGGACTATTGTGGTGAACCCACTTTTTAACATAAGCATATTATTAATTTAGCTTACCACTACGAGCGTAACGGAAGGAACGGCGGGTTCATCATCATCATCATCATCATTTCAGCCATAGGACGTCCACTGCGGGTTCAACGGCGGGTTAATTAATTGTATTTACAAATTGATAATATTCTTTAAAAATATTTCACTCACCCTATTTTCTAGCTTTTGTCTCTGTTAAAGTGGATGACAACAAATATGTATTTTAAGACATTACTCAGTCACTAGTTGGTCGTTGCAAGTAAAATGGATTGCTTATATAAAGTAATAATCTTATCTTTATTTACTATTATTGCTCCCAAAAATAAATTTCACGTTGTAAACATGCGCTTGGGATTATGGTTTACATCTACCTTTTTATGACGGCCGGCGCGGCTACCTGGCCTGATGGTTCACAGCCGGACAATTACGGTAGTAAGTTGTTATTCTGTGCTACAATCACGTTTTAAGGATCAAATCCTGAAAAAATGTTAACCAATCCTAGTCTATATCTCTTGCTGCATCTCAAGCTGTTTTAATCAAACATTTTTTTTTTTTTTCGCGTTCCATTTGAACTAAAATAGACCCGTTAAACTTGAGACCCGTGTTTCTCTATTTTAACCAACTACTAGAGCAATGCGATTCACAAGCTAAGCTAAGCTTCAACAGTTGTTTAAAAATATGTACTTGTTGATGTATCCGGCGAGAAAAAAGCTTATTTTCCTAAATTGTTAAATTTTCTGCACTTATTACATATGGATATTTAATTATCATATTCACTTTGACCAGCTGTGGACTTCATTTGACTAAAACGAAGGAATTGCTCTATATTGCTCCACTTTAAAATGACGTCATCATTTCCAAAATATCTATGAATTGAGCAATTTCATTTACCAGGTCAACGCACTTTTTGTTTTTATGCTTGAATTTATTTTTTTTACTGAATTTCTACTATAATGCTTGTACAGTCGCCTGCAGATTAACAAACCATAATATAAAAGATTTCTCTAATGGATTTTTAGCTTTTTTGTTTAAAATAGTATAGATGAAAAATATGCAGTCAATTAAAGAAATGAATGGTAGGTAATATGATTGCGACTCTACATACTTACATTCCAAACTGAGAATATTTTTTACGACGATCTATGGTTAACTTTTTCGCAGTTGTGTATAAATGTACTTAGTTAATTCCATATCAGTATACGTCTTATCCTAGCTGCTGATTAATGATTTGATTTAATTAATTAATGTATAGGACGAGCCAAAAAAAATATTTATTACTACAGTGTAAAACAAAGTTGCTTTCCGCTGTCTGTCCCTATGCATGATTAGATCTTTAAAACTACGCAATGGTTTTTGATGAGTTTTTTTAAATAGATAGAGTGATTCAAGAGGAAGGTTTATATCTTTACTTAGCACTCGTGCGAAGCCAGGGCGGGTCACTAGTATCTTATATTTCAAATTGGAAATTTAATATTTCTAAATAATTATTAATATCAATACATGGGATGCCAACCAGCCAATTTCCATTCATGTTTAAAAGTGAAACTATTGTAATTTAGGTCTGGTAATTTCAGGAGACAAATAAATTTCGCAAATTAGTAATTGAAAATGAAACCAGCTTTTCTTACTTTGTTTAATGTGTTCTTTAAGGGACCGTGAAATTACAAATGGCCTTTTATTCGATTTCATTTTCAGTTGGAAATATTCTGGTGACTAACTTAAATTTTAGATGAAAGAGTTCAGAGTCAATGGATAGGGTTTGGTTGGCATATTTTAAGTGATACAAGGTTTCCCCATAATCATCAGTTGTGGTCCACTATTGGATATAATTATTTCCATAAGGATTACCAATAGCACATCTCCTGTTTTTTTTAACAAGCCACTGCTAGCTTTTCCACGGCTTCTTTGCTGTTACATTATTAAAACATGAAAGAAATAAATTAAAATAACTATTTGTTTATAGGGCTCCCGAGTATTATTTTTACAGTACAATCAACTGCACTCAGGAGGATTTGATGAGTGCTGCTGACAACGCCACTCTTGTGGCAGAGTTTTGGGCTGACACTGTGTAGGTTTATTGTCGACACGAAAAGAAGAAGACAGTACAATATTTTTTTTTAATTCCAAAAACACTAGCTTTTGGAAATTTTGGATTAGCAAACAAAGCCATAGGAATAGTCAATAACGTAGTTTTTACAACAAATGGAGCAGCCTGTACCTACTAGACACATTCTCAGTGGAAATATGTTGATAATTACAACTTTATTATTGATAAGTCTGATAAATGATAACAAACAATTTTTATTCATTTGCAATCTGAATCGCACAAACATAATTGAGTATTCAAAGTGAACTAAACGGCTGTTAGTCATAATTTTATCCGCGATGTGTTTTTATAAGCCTTAAGTTAATAATAGATTTTTTCTGTGCGTGTGATTAAATATTCAGAACACCAAAATGACGGACCCAAACTTTGATAGGAAAGAAATGTTGGACGAAATAATTACGAGAAAGAAATTAGGTGACAAAAAGTTTCACTCCGAGACTTCGCTGCAACGCTACAACGAAGATGAGGATGACGTGTTCCCTAATAAAGAAAAGGACCCTGGGGTGTGTATTTAATTTTTAATGCCGATAATCTCGAAGTAACGTTTCTAATGTCAGAATTTACACAATGACAATAATTGTGTATTTTAAAGAATTATTATGTTTATATTTTTATTGCATCCTAGATCCCTTTAAAAACTCTAGATTGTTTAACTTAAATAGGCCTAGTTGACATACTCATTAATTACTCATGCTTTGCATTAAACATGCGCTTTTCAGCAACATTAAAAGTAGGTTATTTCAGATAAGTCATTTTGAAGTTGGAGTGTACCATATCATCTATACAACATTCAAGTTAGAGTAAACAGTGTTTCGAAGCCTCATGTTTTTTTCTTCAGCATCATTATTTATTTTGGAGATTTTTTAAATAGATAATTAGTTCGCGAATTTTTCAAACATGATTTAAAATTTCAAGACGGGAATTCAGTGTTCCTTTTTTGAGATTTTACTGTTTGTTTCGTGTCTACTCCCACTTCTCGTTACCACCACTTCATCTCCTGTTTAGCCAAAACCTAACCAGTGGAGGATAGTCCCGGGGATAGCTTACTATTTTGGTACTTACCCGTAACCCGTCAAAATAATCTAAAAGGAGTTCAAAATATAATAATGAATGAAAGAAAGAAATAAACATTTATTGCAATGGACATCACAAAAGACAAAAGAGGTAAATTTAAAAAAAAAGACAGCTGTAACACATAAAATATGCAATGGAAGAGAAAGTAAGCTAGTGAGCAGTGCCACCCTGTAGCACAGCGATGCCCATCGCAACGGGATCCCACTCAGCATATGCCGCGGCCCATGGTGAGGAAGGCCACAACACTGGTTTTCAGTTTGCCCCATCGAAAAGCATGAAAAACAACTGAATCACCTATGTATAAAGGAGACAGGGAAAAGTTGTATGTCTGCTTATAACCTGAATAACATTATTTAGTCATCGTCATCGTGAAAATGACTATTCTCCTTTGTTTTTATTTTATCACGAGTCTTAAGTGGAGCTTAGTACCTACCTAATACGGAATAATATCCAAGTCAATCCAACTAAGCCACCTAACCCAATACTGTGTGTTTAATATACGAGGACTTAATGGATACATTAATCTTAATTCAATTAAGATATGAAAGCCTAAACTATTAAACTGTTTGGATTAATCCTATTTTATGGGACCCTCGTATTTTATATCTATTGACTGATAGCCGTGTGGTTCAGGCAAAGTAAAATAGAGGGTCCTACCTCTATTTTACTTTGCCTGAACCACACAGCTTCTCTTCACCACACTCTTCTCTCGTCGTAAAAGGCGACTAAGAGAGAGATTATGCGAAAAGCGTCTGGCCAGCAGGTTATCCCTCTGCGGTGGGGACTAACGTGTACGCTTCCTATAATATAATCAATCCTAATCCAATTCTGTCTGTCAAATGTTAATTTCAATCTGAATTAGTGTTTTAAGTAATTATCCCTATAATGTATCCACGGATAGCAATTACGATCTGCGCACGCAAGCTTAAAGGATTTGTCACACTGGATACGGTCTGCGGTCAGGTCAAAGTGAATACCGCCCGCAAAATGTATATGATTACTTTGACCTGACTTCAGACCGCATCCAGTGTGGGAAATTCTTAAATGACTGTTCATTCTAGAGGTACAGCCTCTAGAATGAACAACTTTAGTCTTCGAATCATTTGCGTATTCGACAAAATTCGATACTCAACCTTCGAATTAACGATAACGTGACAATTTTGATTCTCAAAATAAGTTTCGTGCCACCATTTCTCATACTAAGTTCACTTTTCGACACGTTTACAAGGGCGCTGTAGTAGTTTTCGTACTAAATCTTTTGATGGCGATTCGAATACGCAAAAACGATGCGAACTCGAAAGTTTTTCGTGCTAGTCATACTGACAATGACGATGATGATTGGTGACTGATTACACTGCTCTACCCTCTAGGTCCTGAACACGTCGGTCAACACGCCTCCCAGTCCCGATGAGAGTTCGGAGCGGCGCCGCACTATGTCCCAACCCGGCCCGGTGTCGGGTGGGCTGGTTACCGCCAGTGCTGCGCGAGCGGCGCGGAAGCGACCACCGCGAACGGTTGCTTATGCTGGCGACAACAGTACGGTAAGTGGTAGTTAATAATAACTATAGTTTAAATTCCGTAAAACGGAAAATCACGGTTAGGTTTCTAAAGACATTCTGGAAACCGGTTAGGTTCGTTTCAGAACCTAACTTAATGAAACCTAACAAAAACGTTAATGGCCTGAATTATCAAGAAAAGCTTGCTGGGACTTTTAAAGGAACCGTGACTGATCATTGGCAGAAGATAATCGTAGGAAGTTTTTTAATTTTCCTATGGTCACTAGAATCTCTTTGGAATAAAATCTTAGAACGGATTATAAGTAGATTTATACATTTACTTGGTTTTATAACATTTTGAAAGTGAGAGTAAAGATCACCTATAAGTCTATATATATAAAAATGAAACCCGTTTCGCGTTGTCACGGCATCACGTGTGAACGGCTGAACCGATTTCGATAATTCTTTTTTTTAAATGTTTGTGGAAGTCCAAGGATGGTTCTTACGGAAAAAAATATTAAGAAAATCTCTACGCTAAGGCGGTACGAAGTTCGCCGGGTCAGCTAGTATTAAATAAATATGTGTGCCAGTGGACCTGAGATACAATACAATTACTGAGATAAATTTTAAATAAGTTTATGTTGTAAAGAAATATTAAAGCTCTACATTTCACCGCTCGTTCAACTATAAAATTATGAGGCGCTCTCAACATTTAACTGAATGATATGACCAATTAATAAAGTTCTTTTTTTTTCGTTCAGTGTATAATAGTAAGTAAATATAAACGTATCAAACGTTATCTATACGGATATAATTGGCGGAAAGACACTAACATGAAATAATCACGGTTAAGTAAGTGCCGCAAATATAATCATGGCCATCGGTTAATAATGGCAATTACATTTATTTAATAAACTTCAGTTTTACGTCCTTATTCTTATCACTTCTTTGATTATTTTACTCATAGAATTTAGATATCCGCGACACATTGAATTGCTTTTTTTCTGTTTTTTTTTTTAATATTAAAACCCTGATGACAATATGTAGGTACCTACTAAGTTCTTGCATTGAATATTTTCTTAATTATTACCTACCACCGTTAGGTAGGTTGCAGTTAGATACATTTTTATGCATGGTGAATATGGTGATGCGCTTTATTTTACATCATCATCTGTTAGTCCAGTCAATAAAGCATTATAGATGGAAAACTGTAGAACACAATTTCTGACCTNACTGGACTACTATGTGTTTTGCGTACTGAAAGTACCTACAACTTACTTAGGTAGGTACTAAGTCAAATGGATTTTCCAAATGATAAGTTTATCAAAATAATTACGCTAATCACTCAAGATTAAATCATGTGTTGACAAAAAAAGGAAATAAAGATCAAGATGTGCGTGCATAGAAGATGTTTGTGAAAAGCTTAGTTACATCACAAGTGACGCCACATTTTGATGACGTCAGCAGACCAACCCCGCAAACGTTGTTTTGTCATAATAAATTACTAGGTATTTCACTAAGGAGTATGAAAAATATTACGTCTTATCAGTCTTATTCTCAGACCCGCTGAAATGACATAGTCAAACAAAATTTTATTAGAATCGGTCAAGCTGTTTCATTGGAGTTTTTGTTACAATTTAAACACTGTGACACGAGAATTTTATATCATACATTAGCTAGATTATAATGCTTGATTACTACTTAAACTACTCAACCAAATAAAATAAAAGTGATATAGGTATCATCTATATCCGGCACCAAACCCAACCAAAACTGTTTGTCCATCTGACAGTTAAGTTCTTTGTACCTTAGTCGTTGGGACTTGGTTAAGCACCTACCTAATTGAATCATCTCTTGATTTCACATCGCCTTTCCTGCACTGCATTGTTAGTTATCGATAAAAAATACGTTTGTGTAATAGGAAAACCCTGTGATAAAATGATGTTTCCTAATCTTAAGCTATCTTTATAAAGAGGTCACATTGTTTGTTTGTGAAAGAAACTATTTATTTGATTATTAAAATAAATGTAATGAATGTTCTCCTACGTCCGAGTGATACCTATACAAGGTGGAAACGATAAGTGATCTCATTCGATTATTTCTAAACTATACAAGATATCGAAAAACTGTTTACTAATTCTGAAAGTGCTTCACAAGCTCTATCGAACGGTACCATTATTAGGTTAAAGAATCAACTGGATCTATCAGAAAATTTAATGTTTTCAGCCTCCATACTAAATGTATGCCAGCCAAACAATAATAGAAGTATTAATTTTTTTATCTATACTTATAATAAATCTGTAGAGAGGTCAATTCTGTACATGAAATATATTTTCAAAATAACTATCAGGGGGTGATTAGTGATCGATACTGATGCCAAAAATGCAATCAGTAAAATTTTTGTCTGTCTGTCTGTCTGTCTGTCTGTCTGTCTGTATGTTCCTTATAGAAACAAAAAACCACTTGACGGATTTTAACGAAACTTGGTACAATTATTCTTCATACTCCTGGGCAGGTTATAGGATACTTAGGAATTCCCACGGGACCGGGAATTAGCGGGAAAATCCTTTTGTACGAAAAATCTAAACCGCTTAAGTTAGACGCTTGAAATTTGGCATGCAGGTACCTTAGTAAACTTAAAGCTTAGTTACAACAGGATATTGCAAAATTCCCATGGGAACGGGAGTTAGTGGGAAAAAACATTTGTATGAAAAAATCTAAACCGCGTAAGATAGACTCTTGAAATTTGGCATGCAGATACCTTAGTAAACTTAAAGCTTAGTTACAACAGGATATTGCAAAATTCCAACGGGAACGGGAGTTAGCTGGAAAAAACATTTGTATGAAAAAATCTAAACCGCGTAAGATAGATGAAGGGGGTAAAACGGGATCCACGCGTACGAAGTCGCGGGCGGCCGCTAGTTAAATAATAAACACTTAAAATGTACTCGTAAATTGTATTCTTATTTAAAATTATTCGTGGAAAACATTGGTGTTGGGCTTTACTTGCTATAATATTAACAAGACTTGAGAGCCATGACTGTGGCTGTACTAAATGTATGGAAGCTGGAAACATTGAATATTCGAATGGATCCAGTTTATTTTCTAACCTATTATTGGTACCGTTGGATAGAACTCGTAAAGCACTTTCAGGATCAGTAACCTGATTTTGAATATCTTGTATAGTTTTTAATATTATGTGGTTTTTCTAAACGTATGGAAGCTGGAAACATTAAATTTTCGGTTAGATCCAATTTATTCTGTAACCTATTATTGGTACCGTTTGAAAGAGCTTGTGAAGTACTTTCAGAATAAGTAATCAGTTTTTCGATATCTTGTATAGTTTAGAAATAATCGATTGAGATCACTTAACGTTTCCACCCTGTATGTATTACTTATATTACATCCGAGTAATATACAAAGTTTTCCAGAAATACGCTATATTTACCTACTTTTTATTGACATGCGCGCTCGCGATCGGAACCACGTGTATAAGTAGTACACGTAATTATCAATTCGTAGATCAATAAAAATGATTCAATTCGTCTTATCTTATTTTACAATCATTATTATTAAGCGATCATGTATAAAGAACATTCTATACGAGAACATTTTAGTGCCAAAACAAACTTAAATTAATATTTTTTATTGTATGTATGTATGTACTTACGGATGGATGTTAAGGATTCTCTAGTTGTGACTACAGGTTTGGCTTTCGATGTGGGGCCAATGAAACTCCATGTAATGGACATTTCTATGTGAATTTTGGAGACTTATATCTTTTAAATTGGCCATAGTCCAGTCGATAGTGTGTATGTTTCACATTTATTGCAAAATAGATGTAATACATAGATGAGCCAATGTTTACCTTGTCATGCAGTCGTTCATACCTAAAAGTATTGTATTTCCTTAATAAGTAACTAATCATTTCCCGCATCTGATAATCTAGAGTAGACAGATACAGGGAGTTCCCTAAGCGATTAACAACAGTGAATCAATCAAGCTTCATACAAATTGCAAACAATCTGATCGACAATCATATCTGAGTCAATATTTATAGTTGCGAAACTACTCTTGTATGTTATTGATTTAAAGAAAGACAGAAAGAAAAGATAGACACAAACGTAGACACTTTTACCTACAAGCCACCAGTGAATAATTGTTATTGCGGGGACTTTTGATATGTTCACCACCTAACTAGTCCAAGCAAAGGTACGAAGTCAAAAATTTAGTTCCAAGCATATCCCTCTACACCATAATTAAATCATTCATTGACTAGACTATTACTGAACCTATAAAATTAAGCTTTATTAAAAGGGTCATTTAGATATAAAATAGCTAACTTTATTAGAAATAATAAAGTTTATGTGTTCTCTCATCATTTCAGTCATACTTAGGACGTCCACTGCTGAACATAGGCCTCCCCCAATGCTTTCCATGTTGATCGATTGGTAGCGGCCTGTGTCCAGCGCTTCCCTGCTACTATGTCGTCGGTCCTAGGTTCCAATCCTTTACGATGTTCTATAAACAATGATTATTTATTTATTTTAATAATAATAATTTAAATAATTAAAAAATAAACTTAGGGTCATATTACCTAGCACCTTTCTTGAAATAAATTGATAATCGGATGTGGATTAGATTTATCATAAATTAATGTCACCAAATAAATTTAAGTTTAAAACCCAAAATCTTCTTTACTTTGATTTTATTAAGATTTAGTACATAAGCCCTCAATGTAACTGTTTGTTGTCCCAAATAAAGATAAAAAAAAATGATAACTTAAAAGTAGATGACCACATTATTAAATTTATTATTCTCTTAAGGCCCGATTCGACCACACTATTATCCGAGAACAACTTCCGGTATAACTGGCACATTAACAGTTTCAGTATGGAAAATATGTCAAAATGACAAGTTTATTCTGAGATTAATATTTACTCTTGTTTGTTCGCATCCGCCCTAATACAGTTTTCTACTTTATTTTTGTTAAAGTTAGTAACAACATACCTAGGTGTTTATTTTTCTAAAATTTTCCAATGTTGTGTAACAAAATGATTACACAATTTATTGATAAGAAACTGGCCACCGTCGGAAATCTCGTAAATGTAATCCTTTAATTGGTCACATATTATGTAAATCAAATTTTTCAACCAACGAGATGTCAAATACGTAGTTTAATTAATTATGATTAAGCTTTACATTTATCAATGATGGATAAAAATGTCCTGATAGTGATAACAGTTGGTGAATTAACAAACAAAGATTTATTTTTTGAAGGAGATTAAAATATTTGCGTAGCGAATTAATTACTTACATGGATTTACATAGCTTAGCGAAGAAGTAGTAATCTACATCAGTTTTACGATTTAAAAATGTTGTGTTCAAAATGGAGTCATTGCCTTATAGCCATCTAATATTACCCATTGAAATTACGTAAAAATCTACATCACGCCCACCATTTTGAAAAAATATTTATCCCTACTAACTGGCTGACTTGCTGCACTGAAAATGTCAAATTGATAAAATAATTGCACGGTTGGTAGCACCAGCCTGCATCCAGCGCCTTCCTGCTACCTTTATCAGGTCGTCTGTCCACCTTATGGGTGGACGTCACACGCTGCGTTTTCCGGTACGCGACCTCCATTTCAGAACCTTGCTGCCCTAGCAGCCCCATCGGGGGAGGCCTATGTTCAGCAGTGGACGTCCTGTGGCTGAAATGATGATGATGATGATAAAATAATTAAATTGCTGTGTATCAAAGACATTTGTTTTAAAAACCTTACAGTACCTTAAAATATTTTAAGCTTAACTTACATAATAAGATTATATTTTTACACTATCAATCATCTCATTTAAGTTGTACATACATAATCAAATTAAAATTACCTACTTGTTAGATAGCTTAAACACGACACGCATTGTTTATCTTTCTGAATTTAAATATTGATACAGAATAATATTGATACGGTACATTATGATAAGCTGACGTATTTGGGACGTCACGGTTATAATAGTGAACTATACTTGTGTGTGTACGTTTACATGCACATAAAGATAGTGTGATGTCTATCAAAACTTTTCCAAAATGAACAGTAGCGAGCCACCACACATGTCAAGCTCACTCGCCTTCGTCACGGTAACATTAGTGCCTTCGTGAATTGCAACAACAAAACTCGATGTAAAAACCGTTTTTGTTTCTAACTTAAAATGAACTTTCCAATAATTAAAATATTCGTTCGTTCGTTCGTTTCAGCCGAAAGACGTGCACTGCTGGACAAAGGCCTCCCCCAAGGATTTCCACAAAGACCGGTCCTGCGCCGCTTGCATCCAAGTACTTCCCGCGACCTTCACCAGATCGTCGGTCCACCTAGTGGGAGGCCTGCCCACGCTACGTCTTCCAGCTCGTGGTCGCCACTCAAGAACTTTCCTGCCCCAGCGGCCATCAGCTCTTCGAGCTATGTGCCCCGCCCACTGCCACTTGATTTTAGCGATTCTGCGGGCTATGTCAGTCACTCTGGTTCTCCTACGGATCTCCTCATTTCTGATTCGATCACGCAGCAAATTAAAATATAAGTTTTACTAATAACTACAGGTATTGATAGGTAATGTTCGTCGTTGTTGATGTTACTAAAACTAAATAAAAGTAACTAAGGGCCCTAGCCATAGCTTCTGGGCTGTGCCCCCTTTTAAAAACACTCTTTTTAACAACAATAAGTATTATATGAATGAGCTTTCATAACGCCATTATTATTATAAATTGATTGTGTTTTTTTTAATTATGTCCTGCAATGCTATCCTACTAATATTATAAATGCGAAAGTTTGTATGGATGTCTTGATGTGAACATGTTTATTACTCTTTCACGCAAAAACTGCTGAACGGATTTTGATGAAACTTTACAGTATTATTGTTAATAACCCAGAATAACATATAGGCTATAATTTATGACGACTAAATTTCACGTGTGTGAAGGAAGCCGCGGGCAAAAGCTAGTAAATGAATAATTGTAATTTGTGAAAGTTACCACAGAGCTTTTAATTTATTTTCAGTAGATAGTTCATTAGGTATATGATATCACCCGCAATCAAAATTGGTTAGTAACTAATTATTGTGTAAGTACTTAATGGGTAGGTATTATTAAAATGTCCATAACTGATTAATTACCGCGCTTTCATCATGAGTTTGCTTTTTTTAATATAATGCAAACACTGGTCATGTGATTTGCCTGTTTTCAAAGTAAATTTATTTTAAGCTTCGTTCGTAGTTTAAACAGCGAATTCGTATATATGGGCGCAATGGGCTGTAATGATTTTTCCCGTTCGCTTCGTGTGGACATGTCATGGAACGTTTAAGTTCCATGACATGTCCACACGACCATGACATGACCACTCCAGTCTTGCATTATTCTTTAAAAAACTATATTATTTATCTACACCTACTTAGTAAGTTGAATGCTTTCTTATTTATTTAATCAGGTATTAAATTGTTATAAAGTTTATACTTAAGTAGGTAATAACATAATACAAAGGAGTGTTTATAATTTATTAGCAGTTGATTTTTTTATTAAAATCCTTCAAAACAATGAATGCTGCTTATTTTAAAGTGAAACCTATAAAACAACTTTATATAAAGTCGTTTCTGAATGGCAATTGAAATTGAGGAAATATAACTAATACTAGCTGTAAAACTTCATCAATCCAATTAAATCTCCTGCTATCTTTTACATCCGCTGTATACAACAAAGATATGCAAGGCATTTTATAAGCTAATATCAGCAGCAATTTTATCACAGCAAACGCCTTTTCAGTATTGCGGGAGTGAATAAAAAAAGCGAGCCGATTCTGTCCCGTTAGAAATTATATAAAAGCTTTGTAAAAGGCGCAGTTCCATAGAGTCGAGCGGCGAGTGTTTGTGAGGCGGGTCACTCTCGCGCAGCGAACTGTAAACCTTTTGAGTCCATCGGGCCGCGCGCGCGGCAGGGGCCTGTAAGTAAATACCTGCGGACAAACCGTGCCGCACCAGCGCCTCGCCTAATGAAAATTCAATCTCTTTATTTTTTTTCATCCCGACAGTTAGCTCGCCACCTCACAATCGGAATGTTGATTTATCGTCAATAATGCGAGCTCTGCTCAACGATAAACAATACTAATCGGATTTTTAATCACGTGCCCAATCAACGGTTTCGACATTTGTTTATTACATTGAGGTATATGAATAACAAATGGAATAGATAAAAAGGCATTGTCCTTACGGATTAAAAAATAATGTAAATAAAAGATCAAGATTTCCACGAAAATTTCATCAGTAGGTAATAAGAAATAACCAATTATTTGATAGTAAGTAATAAAAATAGATAACACATGCAACTTAATATAGTTGGCTATTGGTTAAGGAAAAACTTATAATAAAATTCACAAAAGCAATAAAAACGGTTTTCACTTCGATATAATAAATAAGGCATTATGTATTGTCTACCATTGTAGGCAAACTACCTTACAAACATAACACTCTACTAAATTAATATTACACTCTGCCTTTCAGACTTCACTGCACAAGCTCAATATTGGCGTTTGCCTTTTATAAGCTTTACAAAATAACAAATCTGAAGCGTATTTTCCGCAAAAGCACTAAGTGATCGGCAGTTTGTAGCATTTTTTGCGTCGCAGTTTTCCGAAACTGGTAGCAGAGGAGCGCGGAACATCGTAATGGGATTATAGTGAAATACAGGGTGGTGTCGATCGAGAGAAACAAGCGACTAATGAAGTTATTAATCCGATTTTGTACGGCTTTCGATATTCACATCGGCCACTTTTTTAGTTCGCTCGAATGGAAATATGTGAGTGCGTGTGTGCGATGGTATAACCGTTTTGCTTTATTTACAGGAGCAGATACCGAAGGCTTTAAACGGCAGGGGAGACGAGTCGGGCACGAACACACCTATAGGTACCTACTTTACTCTTCATTAAAGCGTTTCGGGCTATGCTTTTTATAAATATTGTAAAATTTTGATACATTTGACTAAGCAAAATAAAATAATCATATGAAGCATGATTTTTGTAAATATATATATATTTTTAATCTGGATGATTAACAATTGTCAATAGATATCAAATGTTTTAAGTATTCAAAATAATTGAAGCAGTATTTTTCGTAGGCGACCGGAGTACAAACAGTCCACTGCCATACAACGGCACGTTGCGAAATGGAGACGCTAAGTCGCTTAGTAAGTATTTTGAACTTTTATTTTTAGAAGCCACAAAGGAAAATCTATAAATAAATTTATGTAGGTTATGTAGATCTATAACATTGATTTAAAAGAAATGGCATTCATTTGTCAGTCTATCTCTCTTTAAAATCACTTTAACTTTCTGAGACATCGCCCTAATTAAAAATATGATTCAAAATGCCATACAATCTTATCTTCGCAAAGTGTAATTTTGTAATAAAATTTCCTCCATAAGTAGGTACGTTATCTTACTACTGTTCAAATTAACAGCTTTCTTTATTTCTTTACATTGATTGAATCTAAGACCTAGTTAGTTATCAATGACAATTACGTTTTAATTTACTGGCAACTAACGAGTATCTATTCGAAAACTAGTACCATATTAAGTATATATTTAGTAAACAAAGTTAAGTGGTTTCAATACCTTCCTCAGAAAATACGACTTGTTTTATTTATTTATTAATCCCTCAATCTTGTATGATCCAGACTTAGAGCTGATACTCCCCAGGTTGCTTCTTAGTACTGATAAGTTTTTTTCTACCAACAAACAGATAGTTATCGTATATTCGCGTCAACAAACGACCTGCGTGGCGTGGGTACTCCTCGCAAGCGCTCTGTGGCGACCATGGACGCGCAGTCGCTGCGCTCGGTAGAGACGCACGCGCCGCCGCCCACCAGCCCCGAAGACAACAAGAAACTTACAAAGTATGCACTTTATTCTTTTTATGTTTTCGCACACAACGACAATGCGTACCCAACCGGTCTGCGATCGCGATCGAAAGTCGAGTCTTTCGTCATCGTAGTGCGCACTCGCTAAAATAATGTTTTGTATGCCTATATTTCTGAAAGTGTTGTGAATGCTTATACTAAAATATTTATATTTATTTGCATAAAGAACAATAGTGTCTAGACAAACTTCAAGAGGATTTAATATTTAAATCAAAGATGTAATGGCTAAATAATGTAATAATAAATAAATAAATAATTAATTATAAATTATAAAAAAACATAGAGAGTTATAGTAAAGGTGAGTATAGACTAGAGCATTTTCTCGAGCATTCCTATGTAATGTTACGTTCTTACGAATGGTACAATACAGGTAAATATACGACGTTCGTTTCGTGAAAGGGTGATACACTAGAAAATATCATAGAGCAGCTCATTGTTCTGTTACAAATAAATGCTCTAGTCTATACTTAGTCACCATAACAGAGATTAGTTTGTAATAAAGTCGATTTCTGAACCTTTCTGAACCAGTTTAACGAGCTAGCAATACACGAATTCGTTACCCTTTCGACACTCCACAGTTTGCATGAAAACCTGCTCGAAAACTTCTCTAAGTGTAGAAATTCGCTTTGTTGCATGACCTCTGTTACAACGCTTCTCGGTCGCCCTTACATACACTTGTATGTACCTTTAACAACTCCCTTATTGTGAATTTTGTCGCATTACCTTTTAACCCCGACTTTGAAATTAAGTAGAGACTAAAAAGACTGTAGTGTAAGGTTGTTATATTTGTTTCAGGAAATATTTAACCCTAGTAATAGGTTGCATTTACGCAACAATATTAGTAACCTGTGGCTTAATTATACACATAGGCAGTCCTATAGTTGGGCCTTCAATATCTGTGGTAAGTATTTCTATAATTATGAAAATATACATTAAAAATAGAGTCAGCAGCACAAATAAAAACCTACCTATCGCAACCTAATAAAACTCATTTTTATAATTAAATCCTTACAGAAGAATGAAGCAATCAGTTATTTTGAAACTTTTGACTAATACTCACTTTTACTTCTTTCAGATATTCTCATTAGTATTATGCAGCACTGGACTACTATATCATGTCTATTTATTATTAGATATTAATCGATACAAAAAAATTGCACTCAAAAACCAAAGAATTAAGTCGCAACATGAAGAAAATTTAGCGGATTACTTCAGGAAACAAGAGGTACGGTCATCGGCATCCCCTACATTTTAAAACCTATTTAGATTTACTATAGTATGCATTCTAATCTTTAAAATATTACGTTAATTTTTTAAGGCTGAGTTGCATCAACTTAATTTAACCGTAACAATAACCGGTGCTTTTTGTATGGAGTTTGACAGATTTTGACGTTTATTAAAGTTAAAGTAAGATGGTGCAATTCAGCCTAAGTTGACAAACACTGAAAGCGTTTTGAAAATCCCATCACGTTTTCCAAATAGGCCTTAATTTTACCTCAATAACCAGTATGTACTCGTAATAAAAATGTCTTCTTAAATATTGTAGGAATATGCAATGAACTCTGCGGGCGACAGGAATCTCGACATGCGCCCTCCTGCCATGCCCCCAGCCGTGTTGGGCCCCCTAAACCACGACTACTGCTTCAGCCAGGGCCGGCATTCAGGCAGCTTCTACCTCAAACTAGGAGCCGCAGGTAACTTACTTAACTAAAGAACTAACTACTTTTATCGGTCTATTCCACTTTGATTACTTGGCTTTGATCACCCAGGTGATCAAAGTGGATTCCAAGCGACAATTTGGTGTCCTTTGATCACCCATGGATAAGATGCCTGGGTGATCAAAGTGTACTCTAGTTAAATTATTATTTTAGTTTCCTTTGATTATCATTACAAGACCGATAAATAACAAAATTCAACCAAATACTGATGCTTAGGTTTCATAAACTTTAGGATGTCGTTCCTTGTTCCCTAATTGTCCAATATTTATCAAATTGTCGAGAACTTACCTATTGTACTCATCAATAACCTATACATCTATATTTTTGTCTGCCTGCCTACTTGCCTGAGCTGAGCTTTTACCATCATTAGATTTTTTGTTAGAAGTGATTGTTATGGTGCGTCCACACTGGGCGAACGGACTCGCGCGGCAAACTCGACATCCTGCTCACTCAAGAGCAGGGTAAGCAGGATGACAAGCGTGCCGCGCGAGCCCAATGTGGACGCACCATTACAATAAGCTATTTCAGTCTCATAAAGGTTGTATAACAACAACCTTGACATGTGATAATATCCTCACTGATACATATTATTATAAAGAGGAATTGTTATTCTTAGCAAAGCTCACTTAGCTCATAAAAATGTATAAAATGTAATAAGTTTCTCAGTAAGTGAATGAGTTGTATTGTTATGAGAAATTAAGGGTCTCTTGATCTTTGTTTGTATTGAATGAGCTCCGAAATTACTAGACTGAATTGAAAAAATCTTTAACCATTAGAATCCTACATTGTCTCTAATAGCATTAATTGGTTAATTTCAATGTTTTTTATTATTCCAGGTTTTGCGCTTGGTCACTTAATTCACTCTGTACTCCTCCTCGCGGTCCAAATCGGACAGCTTGTCGACGACGACGTTGACAATGACGAGTGCGTCAGCATCCTACAAGTAGCTCTGGACATATTGGCACCCTTATACAGCTTTGTGCAGTTATACTTCATCTTCAAATACTCCAATGTCATCATATTAAAGGCGCAGGTAAGCATCTAGGTTTAGATAAAAAAACTGTTTATTTTTTCATTAACTAAGATTCATTTTAACTTAATTATACGAGATGATAATATTGTTTTTACGGACGACAGCACATCAATTATTTTGCAACAATAATGTATAGTCTGATAAAATATGCCGTCGACTTCAGTGCATTAAAATTATTGGCATGAGTCGCTATTTCTTGGACAAATAATATTATCTAATCAAGATTAAAATTAATTCATAATCAAATGATCACGGGTAGAAATAAGAAATTATACCAACTTTATAGACTTTTATATCGATTTTCAGAGCCTAGCACACTTAGCCTTAATGCACATCATCGGAAGCAGCCTCTGCTTTTGGGTGTCAGCCATAGTGCGTGAAATCGTTCTTGCACTCACGCTCTATGCCAACACTAAATATGGGAACAGCACGACAAATGGGAACGGTTAGTGCCTACTAGAATAAACAACTTCTTTTCTTATGAATTTTTGGAAACAGCTAAGCACCCTATGCAGTTGTATTAAAATGATTTCGTAACCAAAATGTTTGGTCTGATGTGATTGCCTGTACAATAAACCAAAAACATCAAATTCTTGGAATTATGAGGGACACAGAGTATCGCACTTGTTATTAAGACAGTATTACAACATCTAATTTTCAAAAATAAATTTCGTCAAAAATGAAAGCATCTTATCAATCGTCATTCATATTGAATTTAGTGATAACTTCATCCTAACTGATAATATCTCATCATTAAAATATTATCTAATTCTAGGTAGGTTTAACACACATATTTCAGGTTCACAGAATGATGTCATGAAAGTGTAAAGGTTATTAACATTTATTTAAAACATAAATATCTGAAAATCGTATGTATGAAACCTATTAGTTTGAAAAAACTTAGGCTGGGTTGCACGGTGCACCATCTTACTTTAACTTTGACAAACGTCAAATATCTGTCGAAATCCATACAAAAACCACCGGTTATCGTTATAGTTACGGTGAAAGTTAGGTTTCAATCCTTTGTTAATAAAGTCTTGCGTTCCTGTGAATTGAATTTTCCATTCTAATACATTTTGTTTTATTTTTTTTTAATTAAATTTAATTCCTTTTCATATTTCGCAGATACTAATTATGATGAAGATTATGGGGAAGACTCAAGGTTTATTGACATCAGTGGACTTTACAACCAACACTGCGACGGCACTACTGCGCTAACCAACATAAAGAGCAACTTTTCGCCATACTTGTACCCTTTCAGCGTGGAATTCAACATCCTTATAGGTTAGTTCAAGACTTCAGGATATCTTTACAAATAAAATACTAAGGTTTATAATTTTTATCTGCTTCCTTTTTTCCGGTAAAAAACTGGGAAGAAGGACAGTATATCTTCAGTAACTGAAAACTAATTCTAACAGGCGTCATAGACAATCTCTTCATAGTGTAAACTCTTCTCCCACTCATAATACTTTAAACCATTCTGAATTTCATTCTAAGTAATGAATCGTTATTTATTTCAGTGGCAATATACTACATCATCTGGAGTAACGTTGGCCATTGCGAAAATGAGGATGCGACTATCGGCTCAGAAGACTCCAACTCTATAGACGACACCGGCACTATATGCAAGTACGTATCTCTATCTCCGAATAAAACGTCTGCTAAATTCTGAATTTGTTTTATTGTTATTAACTTTTAAACTTTATACACAAAGCAGTATATCTCTAAAACTTTCCTTATTTTTACAGGATTCCTACAGCTCACGAAGATAACGATTTTACCAGCAACATAGTGATTCACGCGGATTGCCATGCCTCCAACCGGGGTCTGTTCCTTGGTCTTATATTCATGGTCGGCGTCGCTGGGATGCTCATCATCGGCTATATCTTCAGCAGCTTTTCTGAAGCTGAAGGGTAAACTTTTTAATTTATTATTATCTATATGTATAATATCTTTACCTGAAATTAAGCCTAATTTAAAAATCTGATCAAATAATATCTGTCATTTCCTGTAAATTTCAAAAAAGATTTTATCATACTTACTAATTGACTTACGTTAGATAATTGCTATGCGTGTTTATTTTCGTAGTGTTATCTAATTGCACAACAATTTATTTTTAAAACTTGTTTCTGGTAAAATCCTCAAACAAGTGATTATTACAAACAGTGCTTAGAAGCACTTCTTGTTAACTATGGTATACATTGTTTTAGGGACTACTTGGGGCTTGGGTACATGCTGAACGACTGCACAACGTTGGCTATGCACATCATTCTACTGTTCGCCGTGGTCATCGCGTTCAACCAGATGAGGAAACTGGACATCAACGAACATCCCGTCTCACTCCTGGATGATGTCTTGCTCTTCATCTGCCTACCCGCGTTCACCCTGGAAACCGTACTTTCTTTGGTCGCAACAATCAGTATTCTAAATGCAGTCAAAATTGCAACATTCATAGCAATGGTAAGTTTAGTTACAATAATATTCATTCAATGTTATTTTACAGTAAGCGTCATATAGTTCGTGACACCCAAAGTGGCCAAAAAGTGGACAACACAATCACAACCTTATTCCAGTTGTAACAAAGGCTACTTTGAATGTCACGAACTATATGGCGCTGACTGTACTTAACGGATCCCTGGTCCAGTTGTAAGAAAGTGAGAGAGTACTGAACTCTATTCCCAGGAATAATACACTTTATAAAATCACTTTGAATTTGTTCTCAGGGGTCACTTTATGGTTGAAATTTCAGTTATTAGCCACATGATCCCCGTTTCTTGATAAGAATTCTTTAAATTCTTCTCCTGTAAGTAATCCCTCAATTTGCAGGCGATCCAAGTGCTCATCCAAACTCCGCTCATCATGGATGGTCTCCGCCGCTGCAGCAACAGCAAGAAGCTTCGCCGTCAGAAGCCTGGCAGGGAAGTTCTCATGTTCCTCATCATCGGCAACGTGGGCATGTGGCTCTTCTACACATTCTCCTACAAATCCCCCGAGAGCCTCGACGAAAGATACGAATTCTACGGAAAAGTCGTCTGGTCTATACTTGGCCACGTCAGTCTACCCCTGATCATGTTCTACCGGTTCCATTCGAGCGTCTGCTTCGCGGATATATGGAACTCGGCCTATAAACCTGGCTCTGAACATTAATTTTACTATTAAAAAAAACATTTCTTTTCATTTCATTTAGTTGTCAGTTTTAGTACATAGTATCAAAACTGTAGTATTAAATCACTTTTATCAATTAACACCTGCATATTAAGCTACCTGTAAATAATTATTGAAGAGATTAGTCATTAGTCTTAACGACTTAAGAATGGATTACTTAGAATTAATATCGATAATCAGTGCTTCCTATGGATTATATCGATTATTGCGAGTATGCATTACTTAGGTTATCTATTAGTAGGAGGTAAGTAAGATTAGAAGTTAACGCTAGATTAATTTTTAGGTTCAATGTATCTTTGATAGTTTAAATCTTTTCTATGTGAGAAATAAGTATGTAGGTAGGTAGATGAATATTAGGTATAGAATTATGTACTTATAGTATCTTCACATTGATAGTTAAGTAAAGTCCAAGTAATGAATATGACCTATCAAATAATTTAAGCCATTTCATAGAGGGAATGGATACTTATTTACCATTTTAAACATTAATTATTTCTTGTTTAAGTTTAGTACATAATGTAAATAGAAAAAACTGTAGGTACTCTACTTGTTATTACAGTAATTATAAATATTTTAAGAACGGATGTTGTATAATATCTCTATTGTAATACACCTCTTATCGCAAAAACTGATATTACTTTTTTCTGCTGAAACACAAAATCATAATTCCCATTTATATCGTTAATGACAATAAGCATAGATATTCACACGGACAGATAATACGGCTTACATTGATATGCACGTGGTAATTACAGAAGCAATATGCCTCAGTTCACCACATAATTTCAGTGTCTGTACAATAGCTACAATAGATAGGGCACTTAGACGCGAGGCCACAAAGCACGTATCAATACTGTGCGTCTCGGCTGACCAAGTAACGGTGGGTAATTAATGTTGCCTGTAATGCAATCGTCGAATATTAGGTTAAGTACTACGGCGGCTGGGCGCTCTTAGCCCCGTCTCCGAGATACAAACTAGTTACTTGGAAGCACAGACCACGTATGTTCAGATTCTGAAGGAGTATTTACTCAGATCAAGTTTTGTTAGGTAAAAGTGACGTTCATGTTGAGCTGAAAAAAGTTTAAGATCTGCTTGAGAAATATTAGAGTTTAACGATAGCATTAATGACTGAAAAGTATTTATTACAGCAAAATTTAACGTGTCTACTATTTATGATACCTAAACGATGTATTTTTAAAATGTAATAACAAATAGGTAAAACCTATGTTTGAAACAAAACATGAAATCTCTGTTTATCTAAATGGTCTGCATCACGAACATGTACCTAATAAGCTTGCTCCCTACACATCCATTTAGTAAACCCACTTGCTCTGTTGACTACCTGACGAACTACTAAAACAAACCTAGAGACCGTATTTTTCGATCAATTTAGTGCATAAAGGCATAGGAAACGCTTCAAAAAATACAAACACGGCGCTTTATTAAATTTATATTTACATTCAGGCAGTGCTGAGCAGTGGCCCGAAAGGCTAATAGTTATCTGGCGCTAAAATCCACATTGGAGCATCGAACGGGGTCCATTCGCTGGGTAAAGTAAACATGCAGCCGAGTTTGGAGCCTACAGCTAACGGAATAAGAATGACAGTTGTTATAAAGGGTGTATGCGTTTGTTTCCGTGTCCAAATGATACAGAAAAATATCCACAAGTAAAGCAGTAGGGCAGGGTATGCTGACGCGGATCTGCGCTCGGCTGCCCACTGCCACAATTGTCTAATTGTTTCCGATCTTCACTGAATGCCCACCGCGTTGTATTGACAAAATTTGAACACATGAACGGTACAATGTATTTTGTCAATGCTTCAATAACCTTTTGCCTTTTACCGATATTTCAGAGCTGAATTTCGATAAATTGCGTCCGAAACGAATGCCATTGTTCTAACCATACCCTGTCTCTAAACTGGACATGTTTGAATTAAATTATGTTTTTACAGTACCGACTCTACATAGGAGATTTTTGGTCGAACGTCATTTTTTTATTTGATTTTAATACGAATATATTTATTTGATATGAAAAATAATACTTAGAAGGATAATCAACGAAAAGACCCACCAAGTATTCGATACCCAGGCAGGACACACAAAAACTATAGGCTTTATTCGAAGCTTCATTATAGGTAGATTTTACGAAATAATGTTTTCAGTGCTACGTAAAATTAGATGTTCGACATCGAGCACGTTTGTTAAAGTTGGATAGAGGGAAACTAAAAAGAAATCATACCCAAAAAATATTTTTTACCTACGCAGGTACGAAATGAAATTATTTAAGCAGCCTTTTTAACGGTCGAAAATTGCAAAAGTGAAACAACATCGCTCGGCTAAATACCATTAATGCTACTAATAACTTAATTAATAAATTGGTTCAGTGGTTTTGATGAAATGCCGCCGATAAATAAGTTGCGCGATACATTTTAAAATGTTTTAAAATACTCAGCTCAGGTGGCCGCGCTCCATTATCGTGTCACTGTAAAATTAATACCCCTTTGTTTTTTACGACACTTACCTGTATGCATTAATTGCATCATAAAAGCCTTTGCCGTGCCTACTAATTGGTTTACACTGCGGACCTTGTAATAAACAGCATTTAATGCAAAATCATTTAAGACCAATTATTGGACGGACGTGAGGAGCACTTGAAGTGCAGGCAAAAGCCCCAATTAGTACCTATACAATACTACTTAAACATAGTAAGTTGTTTAGTGGTTTATACAGTAGTTGACCATCTAGTCTACTAGTTTGCATTACTACAGGCTAGATGTGCGCTGTTAAGATTTTGAATCCGAGAAAGTTATTGTGTACGATAAGGTTTTTAATAAAACTTCGAGATTTTAAGCATCCATGTTTAAGTAAAGCTTTTAATAATGTCTACTCTACTTAGTTTGGCATATGGCATGATAGTATGGCATGAGTTGGATGTCAAAAGATATTGAAGCAATTCGCCTACATTATTCGGAATCAGAGCAATGTCACAGTGCACGGCAGTTCATTATGTTATGTTCCGATGTCAGACATACGTGGATACTTTTGTCATGTGCAGCCATAAAACAGATAGTAACATTATGTTTGTTTCCATTGATTGGATCACAATGGTGTATTATATCGCGACTAGGCCGCGGTCACGCTCGGGCGGCGGCGGAAGGGCGCGTCGCGACGGAAGCGCCCCCGAGGCGTGACTGCGCGCGCGCACACGCGCTTTGTTACCCGCATGCGCCACACGCGGGATCGCAGCCACTGTAACAATGTGATCTAAGTTTTATCAGCCAAATGTCTAGCTAAAGTTCCTCTAAAATGATCATGTTTTACAAACCATTGCAATTTTGTGTGAACTGTTCAAAAGATCGCAAAAAGATATCTTCAAAGTATAAGTAGGAAAACACGTGACTCACGATTAAAGACACAAGTATCAATAAAGCTCGAACAAACATTAACACTTATTACATTCGAAAGAAGTGCTAAGTCATTGCGATTAGTGGTAGAACAGCTGACTGAAGAGCTCTCGATCCGCCCGCCACCTCGACACCATGAAGTGACGTCGAGGGCCAATTGCACCGCAAACGTCAAAGGTAAGTGGTAGCTATCGAAACACAAACAAGCGAACTAATAAATGGTCGACTGGTGATTGCGCACACAACTATAGCCACCTCAATGCACGAACTATTCGTTAGCAACAGTTCAACTATTTTTAGCTGTGAAAGCAAAAAACCTTCCCTTCCTAATACCAATTGTCAGGATCCAAAACTCGTGATGCCGCTCAATAAATTCAATAAAGCAAAAAAACTACGTAAAAGCATGCATCTTGGGCGCTCTGACCATCGTCTCGGAAAACATAGGTGACTGCCCGTCGTGTTACATTACCGATTTTTACGGCTACCTTCCGATAAAAACAAAACGAATCTGTGTCAGTTTTTTCCAACTTACAGTTTTTCACCTTCGATTTGGGTTGCCGAAAGTTTATCAAATTAAATTAGGAAAAATCCCGTAAAATAAAACTCATTCCCCAAGAAAATGAGACAAAGGTAGACCTTGTTGAGTGGTATTTAAGTGTGAAAACAGGTTCCTATATTTTTGTAGAGCTATATCTAATTTTAAATATCATTTCGCTCTACATGAAAGCTGTCTCATCGAAAATGTGTGTTCACTCCAACAGCGACTAAGCTCCATTGTGATCATTGTGGTATGCATAATTACCCATACACACGGTGGAAATAATGCTCAAAAGGCAGTGCGATCGCTAAGACGCGACAACCCTTGCCCTTTCCGAGGGATGCCCCCACGTTCCTGGCGGTAGACAAACAGATTATCTACTACACGTGTCGTGGTTCACTTATTTGGGGTGTAAAATTCAATTATTGTTGGTTGCTATTCCAGAAATTACTGAGATTTTTTTTAATTATGACGTTTATGTGTACCTATAAAAATGGCAAATACAAATAATTAAAAGATGCTAAATATACCTACATTATAAAAGAAGACTAATAAAAAAACTGTCTCAAAATTTAGGAAAAAATACTTTCAAAAACCCCGCAAAACGTTAATATTTGTAACAATACTTATACCCATTAAACTACATAAACTGGTTAATCAAAAACTTCTAAGTTCACCCAACAGTGTCCTATTAAACTGAGCACTCTGATAAAAATATTTGAACAAGTTTAATGAGGTAGTATAGTGTAGTTGTTAGTAGTTAAGCTATAGTTCGCCGTCAATTTGACTATTTCCCGGCTGATCAAAGACGCGTCGCCGCTCGCCCGGAAAATTGGCCGGGCCCAATGAATATTATTAAACTCTTCAATAGTTTCATGTACTTTATTCTCGTTAAGTAAACCTTGCCGTGCCGAGGTTCTTCGAATAAATATGCAGCGGGTTTAAATGTAAACAAAATAACATCTTTAAAATACTTATAGAAAATAATGAAATTAATGAATTTCATTCAACAAAAAAGCACATAGAGACAGAGTAGGTATACAGATGGTTGTCTGAGGTTTGAAAGTACATGATACTTTCGTAGCTAACAAAAACAAAAGATAAATATTTTCACAGTAAACTTAGCACTTCCGAAATCCTTTTCTCTTCAAATATTTAACTAAGTAACAAATAGTAGGTATATTGACTAAACAATATTAAAAGTTTTCGGGTTTTTTGGGGCAAAATATGACAATATATTATTTTAGTAGTGTTTAATAATACTTTTTGAGAATAAACTTTACAACAAATGGTACCTACCTACAATTAAGTTTTCCAAAGTAATCGGCGAAAAAACAAGTCTTCAACAAGCTTGTTTCTGTAAAACATTTCTATTGGTAAAAATATTCATGTTTAGTTAACATAAACATAAACGAGCGCGTCTCACATGCTGAAACATAAAAGAGACAACCAG